TAATGGACTTATAGGATAAGTGTATTGTTGATTATTGAATAAGTATATGAGATATATTGATTGATTTTGGCTATATATAATATATTGTGTCATGTAGTTGGAGGCCAACCATGCGGAGTTCATTAAGCGTCACGGCCAACTTGTTAAGGAACTGGAAGACTTGGAGAGGGGAATTCGGGAGATGGAGGCTCACCCGAAAGATTAGGTTAAGAACCGGTTGGACAGAGTTGGCCCCATCCCCGATGAGCTCCGTGAGTTGCGTCCCTCACAAAGGGCGGAGCTGCGAAGTCTCATCATCCGGAGATGAAAGTTGATTATTGATGTTTCTTTATTGTTCTTCCTTTTGGTTTTGTTAAAAACTTAAGCTTCTTTAAATTTCTAGTTGTAATGTTTTAAACAATTTAACTAATTTTTTTACTTTTGGTCATGTTATAAACTTATGTTAATTACAATATTAAGTTGTTGGATTTAGTTTGTTGTAAATGTCTACTTCAAACAAAAGTTTAGAGAACTTGTGCATGTTTTATGTATATTGGTAAATGTGTTACTTTAGTTTCTTATGCATGCATAAATTGGTATCTTGCTTGATGTGATAATTTTTAAGACAACTCATGAGAGCAAGCCCAATGGGCAGTCATTAAAAGATTTTAGGACTGAATTCTTATGAAAATAGGCTAAAAATAAATAAATAAAGTGAGAATTGTTTAGGTCTGTTCCTTAGTTTAGTTTTTTTTCTGATTGTAAGAGACGCATACGTGGCACGATTTAATTCGTTGGTAAACAGAGAAAACAAAAAAAACCTTGGACGTAATAAATAACCGTGGACTTAATAAATACCATCATTTTTAGACCACATCATTACAGTCACAATTTATTAACCTCACCAACTAATAACATTGGACTTAATAAATACTCTTCTAACTAAATCTACCATAAATTAACTCAAAACCTAGAACAAACGAGGACATATTTCGAGCGTCTCATATACCAAAAAACTTATCTCATCTGCAATTACACCTCAGAAGATGTCTACTTACATACCGGAGCATCTTGTAGCTGACATCATTCGTCGTGTGGGAGAAGAAGATTTTCATTTTCTTGGTCCTTTCATTGCCGCTGGACCTGCCTATAAGCAGCTTGTGTATACAAACGAGGTAATGCGTACTACTAATCTTCATGAATTTTACGAGCATGGTGAATATGCACATGAGGACTCGATATATAGGCATTTCTTACACAAGTGCTTCGAGTATGGAAACCCGACTGCCAAATACATGGAATCTCTCTTGTTTCTGACACAAAAGGGTCCTTCTCAAGAAGCAATGGATTTTCTTGGTGAATCCGCTGACCATAGCATATTTGGTCATTATGCATATGGCCTGTTGCTCATTTGCTGTGGAGCAGTTGAAGACGGTAAAAAGATATTGGATGGGTTTTTACAAAGGGTTGATAACTTTGCTCAAGGAGTCATGATCGCGGAACATGTCGAAAACGAGATTCGTGAAATGGGTCTACTTGGATTTCGTATCTTTTGGGATTATTTTCAACCAAAACAACTTCGCCCGGTTTGCATGCTTTACCATCCTGTAGACATTCTCATTTGCAAACATTGTTTTGCCTTAACATACGCTACAAGGTTACGTAATATGTGTTAACCAACCTATATCTTTAGGCATCATTAAATTAGGGAGTGTTTTACGTTTAGTATGTAACTTATGTACTCGTATTTTTCATTGCTATATGTAAAATAACTCTATGTCGTTATTGTGGTTTTTGAAATGTGTGTGAAGTTAAATTATATGTAATGTCCATCCTTTAATTTAAATATATTTCTCTAACCAGAGTTGTGTAATGTAAGTAACTACACTAAGTCCAATGGTAGTTATTGACCAGAAAACATAAATATAGTCACAAAGTAAAATGTATCTATAACAAGAATAAGACAATTTACAATCTTTCTAACATGTTCAGTCCGCTATGTTTGTAAGTTCAGCATAGTGACTCTGTATCCACTCATTTCAGAGGTGGTAGCATTTATGATATAGTTAAGGAACAGCTGCTCACGTCTATTCTCACCCACTGTAATTAAACACAAGTAGATGATTATTTTTACCCATCTATATACGTTATAAGTAAGAGGATGTGTTAAAAGCATTTGAAACAAACATAAACCCTAATGGAAAAAATGGATTGCTTCCCACCGCCGATTCTAGCTAACATTCTCAGCCGGATTGGCGAACAAGGTTTTCGTTTGCTAGGTCCTTTCATTGCTGCAGGACCCACTATGAAGGAGGCAGTTTACTCAAGGGAGGTCTTATAAAAGGCTGATCTAAGTGAATTTATCTACAATGGTGAGCTAGCAGCTGAAACCTCGATGTTTCGGCCATTCTTACTGAAGTGCTATGAAAAGGGTAACATCACGGCACTCTTTGTGGAATCTCTCTGGAGGCTGACTCAGGATGGTCCATCCCAAGACGCCCTTGATATGTTAGCTGCATCCTCTACACTAAACCTAAACGCACTCTTCGCTTTTGGGATGATGCTCATTTGCTGTGGAGCAGTAGAAGAGGGTAACTACGTCGTTGATGCCTTTCTAGATAAGGTGACTGACCTAACCGAAGGTTTCCTCATTGCAGATCAGGTTGAGCTACAGATCAAATCAATGGGGGCAACCGGTGCTTGTGTTTTCTACCGGCATTTTAATTTAGATCAACTCGGTCCGATTTGCAAGTTAGTCCATCCTCCAAGTTTTGATATTTGCGAACATTGCTTTGCCTTTAATTACGCAGTTAAGTTTCTTAATATGTGTTAAACTCCGATGAAAACAAGTACCTGAATTATTAGTCTTGTTATTTATTGCCACTACTCTGTCCTATTGTTCTGTTTCAAAACTCTGTCTCCTATATAATTATGTTGTAATGTTATCTCCTAATAAGCTTTAATAGCCTTGTTTCTCAATTATGAAAGAAATATCTCTAACAAATAGATACTAGTTTGTTCTCCCTGTTAAGGGCCAGTAGGTTTCATGACAAAATACTAGAACCAAAGTAGAACAAAATATAGTGTCATGATTACAATGGTGCATACTCTAATGGGTAAGATTCCGAGTATGCACCCTTGTAAAGTTGCACACGGCACACACTACATGTTAACTCTAGATTAAGAAGGGTCATTCTGGGAGATGAACTCTACACCTATGGTGTCAACACCACGAGGGTCTTTAATTTGGATGAAACAATCGGAATCCGGGACCTCATCAAAAACCTCTGCAGCAAGCTTCAACCGAATACCAGGCATGGCTGAATCGCACAAACCCTCAAAGCTAATACCAATGGCCAGACACTCTATGAATTTGACAGAATATACGCCACAATCTCCTGTTTGATAGTTTTGGGGAGCTGTTTTTACCCTGTAGATGGAGAAGGCTGAAGCACCAAGTTTTTTTCTCTCTTCCACAGGTTCCATAGCTTGAATCAATGCAGGTATCATCCTAGTGAACTGCCTGCAAGCTTCGTAAATTTCCACATCAGTGTAGCAGGACATGATGCTATCATACACTTTGATCCTCCGCGTCCTTAAATTTATCTCCAGAGCTACCCAATGATCTTTCCCAATGTTGTGAGTAAGGTACAGAATATCTATATCTTTTACCCACTTCTTGTATGTCTTTCCATTAGGCGGAGATTCCCCATTATACACTTCAATATATTTATCAGTAAATTTCCAATTGGAGTCTTTATCAAACTTGATGTAATCTACTGCCCACTGATTCACAAACCAGGGATCAAGGAATCCAATCCTATCAGTCAAAAATGGAGATACAGTTTGCATTGACCTTTTCCGGAGCATTTGCATGATTGGAGCCAATTGCTGTGACATCAACAAGAATGAAACACAGTGCTTAAGGTAAAATTATAGTCTTAAACACTAACATGTCTTACTTGTTAAAACAATACATTCACTTACCACATCTGTTAGCCATCCGTATTCAGGTTCTCCTTTAGGCCAATGCTCTTTTGGAATCTTGATCTTCATGTAGAACATGGAAGATAAATTCGTGGAATCCAAAGGGTTATCCCTACATATAAGAAAACAGTTAAGCTTACCTAGTGAAGGTTTACGAGTTCTAAAGTAAGGTAAATAAATGAGATTGGAACTTACAGATCATGGTCAATGAATTTTTCTAACTTATCCATCTTTTCAGGACTGACCGGTTCAAAAGGATCATAAGCTGCAGGAGAAAGAATTTTACCACTCACAATCCGCTTAACTAATGAACTCCCAACGAATGGGTCCAGCTGGGTAGAAGCAAGGTGTCTAGACCGACATAGACGATCAACATAATCTTCTTTACCACAGAAGACTACCAACTTGTCTAGTGCGGTTGTTGAGTTCTTCTCTTTATCATTCTCTTCAAGATGAGACCACTCTGAGACCAAATCAGGTTTTGTTTTTTTTCTTCTCAGATAAAGGAGTCAACTTTGACTTTTTGGGTGATGGTGGTTCCTTTTTTATGCATCTGCCAAGGGGAGAAGTCTTCTGATTATGCAACATCGACTTAGTCATCACTCCCACTGAAGATTCTATATCTCTTCTATCCCAATCAGCCTCAGAGAAGGGCTTGAATTCACTACAAGAAATATCTACATTATTAGCAAGAGATAAGAGCTATTATATGTCATTAATAACGTTTTCATAAACGCCGTCTTATGCCCCTGTTATGGTAGACCCCCTACATACGATAGCGTATTTTCCGTATGTTATAGAGCATTCTACCATAGCATTAGGCAAATGCTTTGATATAACGACTTTTTTTTTTTAAAATTATGTATTAAGTCATTTTCGTGCTATTATAGATACTTTCTACCATAGCGTTATTAAAATGCTTTAATTTTTTATAGCACCGCTTTATACGTTACTACGTCATATGCAATTAAAATATATATATTTGAAATCCAATTAATTATATGCTACAAAACCAATTTATTAAAAGCAAGTTTCTTTCCATAGATCATCAAAATATACATAGTTTAGTATTCAACACCATTTAAAACAAGGTCTTAAACAAGACAAGTATTGTAATTCAGATGGATTAAACGAAGAACTCCATTGGTTTGCTCTTTCTCTCCCTCCAAGAACTTAGGTTGATGTCCACACTTCACTGCCATCTCCAAATCCTCTATAGCTTGGTTCTTTTCTTTGTCGTTGGCTGTCTTTGTATAAGTAAAACAAGTTAGTTTTTCAAATGCTTCTACTAGATAATGACCATGTATAAAACCATGAGGAAAGAGGGAAATATAGGAACCTGAGATCTCTTTTGCAGAAGCTGCAGCAACAAAAACAGTAGCATAGGAGAAGAGACAGAAGCTGCAGCAACAACAACAGTAGCATAGGACAAGAGAGCACAAACAGAAGCTTGGAGGCGAATCAAGTGCAACCTGAAAAATAACATGATCCGAGTAAGTAATTTAATCACAAGCTTGTTTTGCACACCTAATATATATACCGAGATCGAAACTGTTAGAGACAATGTTTAAACCATTTTGACAAGAATCAAGAAGAAGATTATATTTACTTACTTAGGCTGAATAAGTGACCAGAAAAAAGACTGTCTTTTAACACCAAATCCAGTGAGATAGTCTTAACTAAGTTACAGCTTAATGGACCATATGAAGTTAAGAGATAAAACCAAACCTGTTTCTTGCCCCAATTATATTGTCGTACACCAGCAGAAGGAGCAAATTGGAGCAATAGAAAACCATCCTTTGACAACTTGAAAGCTCCAGACTGCAAAAAAAACAGAAATCAAATGGAAAACTCATACTTGAAAGCTTTCCTAATTTTTTGAGATAAATCGGTTACAAAAAGACAACATTTCTAACTTATAGTGATGAAAGATGTGTAATTTAGTTTTAGAAGAAACAAGATCACGTGCCAATTGATTTAGAATTTCCAAAATATTAAACTTATTCTCTTAAAAGATAAACAAGTTGAAAGCTACGAGAAAGAATTCGACGAACCTGACTGAGGCAAAGTAAGAAACAAAGAAGGAGAGAACCTTGACTACGTCACTTCTAGAGACTCCAGGATTCCATCTCTCTCTGCTTCACAACTTACCAAAAGAAAATAATTTTGAAACAAATGTGATCTCACCATATATCCAACAAACAGCGGATACTAAACGCACATACTCCATTTCTCTAGCGTCAAAAGATTCAACCACCCTATAAGAAAGGCAAAACAACAACAATCCTATATCAATCTCCGATGAAACCAACATATGATTTTTCATGTAAGCTGCATTTGATTCAAAATCCAGTTAATAACAATAGCCTTTGCAGTAGGTTTTTTACACATATACCAAAAACTAAGACAAAGTAAGCTTACAGTTTTGCTATATATCAAGAGGTAAAAATTCAGAACCTACACAAAAAAAAAAAGAGATTGTTTAATTAATTTCCAGAACTGAGATAAACAAACAAACAAAGACATTTTCTTAGTTCACAAATCTTACCATGAAAGAGTAGTTTATGGCCAGAGAAGAAGCAAGAGAACAAAAAGAGTGACACAAAGAACAAGAAGAAATACTCAAGCAAATTCTGAAAACAGATTCCAAGAAAATGAGTTACCTTCACTATCATCCATCTCTTAATTCTCTATTTTCGCTCGTCCTTCACCTCAAAATCTTTTGTATAATCAGGAACCACACCAAAAAATCCAGAACTTGCAACCTTGTCCGCAAGCACCCTAAAGACATAAAATTAAGACGTAACACTCCACCAAACATTCCTCCATAGTTTTACAAGAGAAAAAACAAAGTGGGTGCAAACAATGCAATCAAAGCAATGATTCAAATCAAACATTTAGCTAGATCTTATAAAATGAGATAAGAAAAGATAAGCCAACTTAAAAACACACGATAGGTATGCTTCATCTTGTAAATAATCCAAAACTAACAAAACTATTTGCAGACACAAATCCAAAACCAACTTACATATGTGGCTACTAAAAACTATGTAATTCCTTTCAAGCAACAAACACAAAAAAAAAAAAGACTCCATCTTCAATGGTTTAATCGATGAAGAGGTAAAGAGTAAGTAGTAGTAGTACCTCAAGTTTGGAGCTTCATTACCTAAAGAACAAAAACGTATCTAAACTCAAAATCAACAATGATGAGATGATTAAATCAACAAAAGGGATCCAAAAGAAGAAATCCAAAACCCGTAATTACTACGACCATGTGTTCACTCTTTCTCAGTCTTCGTCTTCACAGTTCTCATATTCACAGTAATTGCCGTCACTTACCAATTACCACCAGATCCATGGCTTGAATCTGCTCCAGCTCTCACCAAACTCCTAACCGAAACCGAAAACACAATTTTCAAAATCGGTGAAGATATGCTTCTTCTTCTCCGGTTTCAGCTCCGGCGGTGCAAGTTACGGAGGCGACGATTGAGAAATCTGAGATGAGAATCGGGAATATGACGATGAAGATGAGTTTAGGGTTCATAAGTTAAGAAATCTGAAATAGATGTACCCTTACTGTGTTCCGTCGTGACGACGAGCTTCACTGTGGAAGCCGGCCACGAGCTTCACGGTGGAGGCCGGCGATGAGCTTCACGGTGGAGGCCGGCGATGAGCATCACGCTGGAGGCTATGGCTATGTCTCAGATCCAACAAATCTCTTTCTTCGACTTGGGATTTTTTTTTTTTTTGGAGATATGTTTTATTTTGTGGTAAAGTGAAGGGTTTTAATTTTTGGACTTTGGCGTTTTAAGTTTTTGGTTCTAAAACATATGGTGCTTAAGTGAATTATTTCGCCTAAGTATTGGCGGAACGAGTGATTTTAGTTTTCTATTTGGTGATTTTCTATTTTAGCGTTGTTTCAGTGCTATTATATATACTTCAAATCAAAAACTTATCTTTCATAGCAGTTACGGAAAATGAGCTATCATCATGTGCTATCAATGTGGATATTTCTTGTAGTGATTGTTTAGCAGGAGATGACGTTTCACCAATCAGATTATGCATTACAGAGTCACGAATTAACCCACCTTTTGGATCCTTTACCAAAGGTGACATGCTCCCTGAATCTTCCTCCATAAACAACTTCTTGGACGTCTTCGTTGGGTCATCACATTCTCTTGTCTTTGATTTCTTTGAACCTGCTTTCCTTTTACCCTTACCCTTTTCCTTTTCCCTCCTGACAACTACGGAAATGGGATAACCTTCTTGAGAAGTCTGCTTCTCCTGCTTATGCCATGACTAAATAAACATAGTTCAATAATCTAGACAACAAATATATAGTGAGATTAAACAAACATAACCATTAAAAATGCTAATATTTAAGTCTCCATTAACCACCCAATTCTGTTTTACAAGTTCACTTTTAAAAACAATGAGTTCAGGATTCAGAAATCAGAAATACTAAACAGACATAAACTTGACCATTACAATGCTAACATTTAAGTCTCCATTTACCAATCAATTATGTTTTACAAGTTCACTTTTAAAAACAATGAGTTCAAGAATCATAAGTAAATAAAGAGACACAAGCTTGAAAAATGTGACTCCCAAAGCAACTAACTTGCGGTTTTTTGCATACATAAAACAGGCTCTTTGTGAAAATTTTGAGAGTATATTTACCTCATATGCTTCCTAATTAAATAGAGGATGTACACATCATACCTCATCGTTGGTTCCTGTCCCTTCTTCTGAACCATTTGTAGAATCTTCTTCGATCTCATCATTCTTCTCTTCTGCCTTGTTCCTCAGCTTCTCCACATCATCCTGCAGATCTGTCACACTCTTCTTCAGCCCTTCGCATTTTAGGTCTACTTTCTCAAGCCCAGCCACGAAATTGGTGTTCAATGTTTTCATTTCTTCAGACAAACTGCCTATCATCTTAAAAAGTCTCTCCATTCCTTGTTCCTCCAAAACCTCTTCCCCACTATCATCACTCACATCTCTTAATTGCTGCCCACTATTAGCTTTCTTCTTTATGCGTTTCTCTGTCTCTGCTTTTCTCTTCTTAGTGGGTCAACAAAATCATCCTCACTATCCACTTCCTTCTTCCTCTTTCCAGTTTTCTTCCCAATCTCCGGGTCACCAAATCCACTTTCTTTTAAACCACCATTAATAATATCATGCAGGAGATTATCCACCAGCTTATTAGCACCTACACCTTCCCCATACACAGCATTCTCTCCAGGCCAAACAGGATAAATCTCTTCCACAGGCCTCACCACTAAATGCTGCACCTTGATCTACATGAGGAGGACATAAATAAGCTATTTAACTGTTATAACTACATATGGGTAATGAAAGTTGAGGAGAACAAACATACCTTCTTCTTTCTCAGTTTCTCTGTCTCAAAGAAATTTTTTAAACAGATTCTTGGACGACCACCATTCCATTGGTTCTTCTTCATCTTCATCGCCATCACCATCATCCGGTACTTTGTTCCCATGTGATTTCGCAAGATGTGGAATACTGTCAAATGCCCATATATTCAGGATATGCGGACAGCCATGGATAGCATATGAAGTTCTATCATAACTCAAAACTTTTATTGAAGTAATAAGCTCCTTAAATCCAACTCGACCCCATGGAAATCTCTCAAATGCCTCTGTGTCAAGCACTCTCTTGGCATAGTCCAAAGGTATCCTACTTGACCTAGATATCCCCAATATACCTACATGCACCACGAACAACAGACCAAGCATCTTCCTCTTTTGTAAACTCCAACTCCTACAACTTTTTAATGTTGACTCCAACTCATTCCAGTTTGGCCCCTTCTCTGCAGCCACCTTTAAATCTCCCCAAAACTCTCTGTGGTCAACCGCCACTATGTCCTCTACATCAATTTCCGCACAATTCAAACCAGCTATGTCTTCATATTCATGAAGCGAAAACCTAATTGGACTACCTTCAATGAGACACCAAATCTCATATGGCCTACTAATTGCCAATTGATGAGTTAACAAGTGATGCACAAGCTTTGCCCACCATACAAAAGAACTGTCAGCAAGCTTCAACAATACTCCCACTTTAGATTGATCACGTATCTGAGAGTAAGCATCTTCCCCAATCTTCTCTTTCAATCTTGCTAAACTATCCAAGGTGCAGTTAATATGCATGCTCCTTCTCTTCATCGGTGCTTTCCCTGCAGCATAAAGTCTTTTGGGGTAGCTCTTCTTCGCAATTACTGCACAAAGTACAACTTCATTATGTCTCTCTTTTGTAACTTTACTACATATACTTACAAAGAAACTCTATCCCATATTTCTATCATTAGATTATCAACCCCGCCAAATTCAAATACATAATTTGTTACCTTCTTCTCCCATTTCTTCACTCGCTTGATCAATTAATCAATCCACCTCTTTATCCCATCAGAACATAAATCACAAAACAGAACGATTAGGTTTAAAATTATTCCACAGCTAACTATTTCAAATCCAAATCCCTCAAAAATTATTCCAACAGCTAACTATCTCAAATCCCTCAACAGCTAACTAAGAAATTCTTACCACATTCGCCGCCGTTAATCGACGCCGTATCTTCGCCGTAACCTCGCCGTCGCCAATTGTACACAGATCCGTCTGTAAAAATTAACGATTTCTACTATAAAATCATAGCAGTTTGATACTTTTGCTACCATAATAGCAGAACAACTCAAACTCATTAATTGAAACACAACCGGATATCTTACCGGAATTTCTCCCTCAGGCCCGACCGTTGTTCCCGACACAAAAACCAAACACAAACACTCTTTTCCACTTTCTCACTCTTCTTAGTTAATCTCGATTAACGGTTCTTTTTTTAATTCTAAATGGCAAACATGTAAATAAAATAGTTAGAGAGGCTTAAAAGACTTTTGCCAACTTTTAAGTGTTATTTGAGTAAGACCCCCCTCCACGGGTGTTATCTCAGTAATTAAGTCACTTTTAAGGTATATTTGAGCACATTTTCTCTGAAAAGTATGAAAATATCATCAACGTTAAATATCAAAGACCATCATTTGTCACTATGTCGATAATGCTTCTCCAAGAATATCATCTTCAAAAACAACACAAAGAAAGCTTGAGTCACGCTAGTCATGCTTCATCACCAAATATTTTAGCAGTGCTACTCACAAAATGTTCTTCGATAAAACAATAAATCTCAATACAACAACTATCGTGAAAGTCGAAGAAAAAATTAGAGAGGGAGAAACTGAGAACACCACAATAGACAGTTTTACGACACTATTAGAAGAATGGAGAATCCAATCTCATGCATATAAGAAAGAACAAGTTAAGGTTGTAAAATGATTTATGAGGAGTATCACATTCTTAGAAGTAATGAAGAAATTTTTAAATATAATCAATATAGTGGGTCCAATTGATAACACAAAAGTTTTAGCTGTAAGTTGGAACTGTAAGCTTTTACGCAATAGTGCAAAAGTGTACAAAAGTGTACAAAAGAGTGATACATAAAAGGTGTACAAAAAGTTAAAATAACATTTTTTGTAACATTTTTAATATCATTTTTGTTATTGGTAGCTGTTAAAACGGTACATTTTGTACCACTGCTGTAGAAGGTTACCATTCAACCCGAATAAGTGAAACAAAATCTCATATATTAAACGGTATTCTTGATTGTAGGCCTGAACAAATAAACCGAACCGAATGTACCAAACCGAAACCGAAGTAAAAAAACCAAACCGAACCGAACCGAAAATTTAAAAATAACTGAATGAATAGTAAATTTAATAACCGGAGTAACCGTAACCGAATCGGTATCGAACCAAAATATTCGGGTAACCAAAATATCCGAAATACAATTATATTTTCAAAATAATAGTTATTTATAGACCAAATAATCAAAAATACTTGAAAAATGTATAAAAATAGTTAAAATACTAGAAAATAACCGAAATATATCTTAAAATATCCGAAAATACTCAAAAATAACCGAAATATCCGAAAATACCCTAAGCAAAATAACCGAATGGATACTAAATTTTAAAACCGAACAAACCGGAACAGAACCAAAACCGAACCAAAATTTCAAAATATCTGAATAGATACTAAATTTTAAAACCGAAATCGAAAGGATTCAATCGATAACCGAACAGATAACCGAAAGCCAAGCCTACTTTATTGCATAGAAACTTCCAAATTTCTGAACGGAGCCAATAAGAAGTCTCATCGGCCAGATTTATCTATCCATAAAAAAAAACTTTTTTTACTCAACCACCAAGGATTGAAGTTGGAAGATAATATATATTAGTCTAAAAAAATCCCATGTCCGACTTTTTAAACCTCAAAAATATCAAAACCGAAGAAAAGATGATACCACAAAAAATTAAAATAATTAGTGGAAGAAAAATCATCGGACAACAGTGCAAGTACAGCACCAGCTCTGCCAAAAGCCGAAACCATTTTTCAATTACAGAAAGATAGTATTGATAAAACTACCAAAGTACCCCTCAGACTTTACAAAAGCATCTCTAGAGTTATCCACGTGTCAGTCATCTATTGATTGCTTGAATACCACCTTGTATTAACGCCCCATGATTCGTGGTTGGGTACACCTGATAGTCCGAGGATATTTATAGCTCACGCGCTCGTTTCTACAATTGACCGTACTCGCTTTTCTTGTCGCGATCTTAGCAACTTACGAGGTCAAAGGTTGACTTAATCAGACTTGCGCATATAAAAGCGAGTATAAATGTTTACTATAGTCTCGCAAATGGGGCTTTGTTGAAACAACTCTTTTGTAATAAAACCAGCAGTGGTTTTGTTCTGAATCCGCTCTCTTGCAATATACTACCACAAACAGAAACCACAGAAGATATCTTTTGAGAAGAAAAAAAAAAAATTAGAAGCTTCTCCTCTTCCTCTGCCTTCTTCTTTCCATTTATTGCAAAACCCTGATCAAGTAAGTCAAATCTTCACGAATAGATATGCATATAGATTCAATCCAAGAAACTAGGAGAAATCTAAAAAAGAGGACAAATCTATAAGTCAAGTTTGAATCAGGAAGATTATCTAGATTTGACCATTTTGACATTAACGATGTGCTTAATTACTTCTTCTTAATATATTTGATGTATTTTTTTTGTAGTTAGTTTTTTGGGGAGAAAGATGGGGAGAGGGAAGATAGTTATAAGAAGGATCGATAACTCGACAAGTCGACAAGTGACTTTCTCCAAGAGAAGGAGTGGTTTGCTTAAGAAGGCTAAAGAGTTATCGATCCTTTGTGATGCTGAAGTTGGTGTTATCATCTTCTCTAGCACCGGAAAGCTCTACGACTACGCAAGCAATTCAAGGTTAGCTTCTTCTTCTTTTTTTTTCTTAGTACAAGTCAGTGAAGTTATTTTTTATTTGCCTTGCCTATTAGATTCATCACTTCTCGTGATCCCAACAGAGGTGTGTGTATCTACAATTGTCACTAATGATAATGTCTCATCTCTAGATATTGGTTTTAATTTTGTCTCTCTTTTTTTTTCTTTGTCTAAATATAGTTTCTCGATAGGTTATAACACATGTTTATATAGGAAAAGCTATTTTGGACGAATATTTGATGTTTGTTTCTTTGTATTTTTTTTTGGGAATTAAACTTAAATTCTTATCTTTAGGCTTTAGTTTATCTTCCACATATTGATTTGAATACAATCTATCCTTGTAAAACTTGCTTAGCAAATTATGATTTGAATACTCTTAACTTGAAAATTATTGTATTTCCCTCATAGCTTTCGATAAGTAAATGCACGTGTATCTATGTTTGTTGGAAGTGCATCAAGATAAATGGTTACTGGTTTATGTAAGTCTTCAAATATAGAAAGAACATGAACCACTATTATAGATCAAAATTTTGATTTTTACTTCTTCGTTATGTGGTGTATATATATATTATATATTGATTATAATTGTTTGTATTTTACTCTATCTACATTTTCACCTTTTTATTATAATTGATTGGAATAATAACACACATATATATATATATATGTGACCATGTGCTATTTGGTAAAATTTTAACTTAGAAAAGTTTAGTTTGTGGTTTTCTTCCATAGAATATAGAACAAAAAGCATTTGATTCAGTGTTTTAATAAGTGTTTAAATAATAAGTGTTTAAAAATACATTATCTCAATTTCTGTATAGGCTAAGTATGTAAACTAATGTTAATATATACGTAAAGAAAAGACATTCATACTCATTTCCCTGGAATTCTAATTAAAAAACAAATCTGATAAAATGAAACATTCATCTACCTATACAGTAAATAAAAAACAGGAGAAAAACCAAATTACTTTTCTTTTATTATCTGAAAACTAAAGATTTACAAACAATTTATAAGAAATATCTCTAATTTTTTGCAGATAAATGAATGGAATGAAATGCATGTATTTTTTCATTCTTTTTTTTTCTAATAATATCATTCATCTATAGTCAACTTTTAATTTATATTTTTGTTAAAAAAAATTTAGTAGTCAAAATGTTCGTGTGTCTTATCTAAGATGATAAGCAAGGAATAAAAGAAATCCTTATCCAATTCCTTTTGCTCGGAACCACCTTTTGGAGGAGGTCAAGGAGCTTTGATTTCTCAAAATAGCGAAGCGGAACTATCCTATCGTGGGTTGATTTCTCGATTAAACAAACGAGTGAACGCAAAATGATGGAGCATGGATTCCCAGTCTAGATTAGGAAATATTTCGAACTAATCACCCACTATGTTGGTCCAACCGTGAACGTGTAAGGACAAGAAAAGAATAAATATATAGTCCACTTATTTTTCTTAGGTTTAACATTTAAGCATAGAGTTCAATCATAATCATATAAAACCCCTCAAAAAGTATGCATTACAAAAATATTGGTTTGAAGTCTTAATAAACATTTTAGCAAAAAAAACAAACTCTTAACAACATGAAGGTTAAGTTCAGCAATATAGTATTGGTTTTTTAGGTAGATAGAACATAAGTCACGAAGCTCGTAAACGCAATAACGTTCCTCTATTCTGCATATTGAAGTACGCAGTTTCATAAAAAAAACATGAGAAGTTGCACTCATCTTGTCGTCAGGAGATCTGTTCAATTAATTGTGTTAATACTTGTAGGTAATTTAACCAAACCATCTATATATATACACACTCTCACATTATGAAGTAATACTTCTTTTTTTTTTGGTGTAGTTATTTGGTAGCAAATCGCTTCTCCAATATATTACATGGCCTTACAGCATCCCCATTGGAGAGAGACTCTCTTTAGTCTCTTATGAATATAATTGTAATATTTCTAGTATAGTTTAACTGTATAATAAAATTTTGATTTCTAAAATGAAATTGAACGAACTAGACGAAGAAAAGTGTTATATGAGTATCTCATTAAGAGACTATGGGTTCTCGCAATCTCTCTCGTACTTTTTGTTATTTTACTATATTTTAGTCGGGTATAATCCAATAGAGATGCTCTTAGTTTTTTTTTTTTATGATTCGTGTTACACTTTCATGTTGATATCTACAAACATATTGAAATATTTTAATAAGTCTAAAAATAGAATGAATTTGCTGACTACGCAGAGACATATATGTATATATATATATATATATATATATATATATTGTAAGTAAGTTTGATGTATTTTGGTTTGTCTGAAATATTTTATGTGATATTTATCATATAAAATATCGTATTATCATGTAAAATAACATGTTATTTTCTTAAAATTAAACACCTACAAATTTCATGCTATTTGCCAAATACAAGCGCAACAAATGTTCTAAATTATTTGCCATTTTGTCATACACTTTTACAAATAAATGACTGTCGTACTTAACTTTTGTTTTAGTAATATTACAGATATTTAACTGTTGTTGTAGCCTTGTAGGTGCTCAAGCAATATAGGTAGACCAACTTAGCTTCATGCGTATACTGGAAATCGAATTGTAAAACTTGTATCTATCTTATATATATATATATATTTGATATCGAAATTCACAAAATAAAATATAATTCAAACAACAAATTTGAGTTACTTATATTACTCTTGAGTTATTAATATGTTAATGCCTTATTAATAACGTTGTTATCTTTTCGAACCTGAATAGTATGAAAACAATCATTGAGCGGTACAACAAAGTAAAAGAGGAGCAGCATCAACTTCTGAATCATGCCTCAGAGCTAAAGGTATTCATATCAGAGATTTTCAACTTTTTTCTCTAAATTATAATTCATCTCATTAGGATTGAAAAAAAAAAATTGTGCCAATATTCTTTTATAGGTTTGTCAAATTATTTTTGTTTTGTTTTTATAATGAAATAAAATTTATTAACTAATAGGAAGATTTTGTAAAATAGTGTTCTGAAAACATCTATAAATATACATAAAAGAAATTGACCAATTAAATTTTGATGTATTAATTGATGTTTCAAATTTGTAATTGAATTTTTTTTTGATGCTTTCAAGTGTCTATGCTATATATCTAGAATCTTCTTAATATCAGTTTAACTGTTTCGAATAACTACAAAAGCTCTGGTTTTTAATACAAAAAAATAGACAATATATAGCCTTTAATTTATAAAATTAATATTAATAAAAACTAGAATTGGCTCTCTTTTTTAATTGTAAGAAAGAGGCTGATATATACAGTATCAAAGCAATATATAAAAAGAACAATTACAATTTGTTTGAGCAAATTAACTGTAGTTATGATAATTGGTTTATAGTAACAAAATATTTGTCTTACTGAATTCATACAGTTTTACATTTACTTTTTGTTTGGTAGGAGTTTTACATTTACTTTTAGCAATGAAATGAATATTTTTATTTTAAAAATAATAATAAGGTGATATAAATAAGTTTTGATTGATCAACAATTTTATCCTTAGTCTACTATGTGAATAGTGATTTCTTTCCGTATAGCATGCTCTTTATCGGCGAATGTCTAGTTTATTTATGTGTGGAATACATGATTTCCCCCTCTCACCAATAGTCCAATACCATGTTACTTATCCATGTAGAAATCTAATTATCGATTAGATTTATATCTTCACCAAGCGTATGATCGATCTATAATTTTGATCTATATTTTGGTATATTCAGTCAAACAAGTAGTAAATGTATTTATTGTTAAGTATACATTTGAGGGTAAAATAACATAAAAAAAAAATTAAAAGTTTCACACTATTTGATAAAATTAAGTCACATCATTTCAATTGAGTTAATTAATTATAATCTTCCCCATTTTAGTCTACATAATCAACCTATTTCTTAAACCCTAAAACCCCTTAAAATCTTCTATATTTCTTGAAATATCTAAATAGTTGGTGTTTTGGTGATCATTTATGAGATTTTTCTAAAGCTTAAGGTTACATTTATCGTTTAATTAATTGAACATATACACACATGATCGACCATGAAGGCTTCATGCAGATATTGACGTCATGATACACTCTCTTCTTTCTTGTACAACACAAACAATGTTTTCTATATGAGCCTAATATAATTAATAAACATAGGAAAAGTTTAAGGCCTTAAAAAAATTTCTAAAATAATAGGCGGGAAGCGAATGCTTCTTTAATATATAGTATATACATAGCCACGGGTCTGCATGAAGCTTGGGTTTGAACTTGAAGCAACAAAAATATAGCTATATACTTGTTTATAGGGCCACTTTAATATATTCATCTACATGCACATCATTTGTTTTCTCTTTATGTTACCAGTTTTGGCAAAGAGAGGTTGCAAGTTTGCAGCAGCAGCTCCAATATCTTCAAGAATGCCATAGGTAAGACCTATTGCATGCCTATGTCAAAACAGAAACTGAATATTAGAGTTATATTAATCAATCCTGCAACTTAATTTTCAAACGCTATCAAAAATTAGAAATGGCAAACGAAAAAAAAATAGAGCTTGTTAAAAATTTGTATTTCACTCCCAAATGCATTATAAAATTAGTTTATAATAATATGAAGGAAACTAGTTGGAGAAGAACTTTCTGGAATGAATGCTAATGACCTACAAAATCTTGAAGACCAGCTAGTATCAAGTCTAAAAGGTGTTCGTCTCAAAAAGGTATAGTTTTAAGGGACATATTATACAAAAATAAGAGACATATTTTGGACAAAGGTTATTGGTGCCTCTTATTGCCACAATATTTGGAGAACCATGTTTTCTTTTTGCAGGATCAACTTATGACAGATGAAATCAGAGAACTCAATCGTAAGGTTTGTTAGCTAAAATGATCAAAATAATATGCTCTTTCGGAGATCTTTGATTTTTTTTTTCATCTTTAAACCAACAATGTTTGATTCTATATTTCTATTATAGGGGCAAATCATCCAAAAAGAGAATCACGAGCTACAAAATATTGTAGATATAATGCGTAAGGAAAATATTAAATTGCAAAAGAAGGTATACAAATGCTTTTATATAGATAAAAAAATGTTGATGTAGAAACATTTATTCATGTTAACCTAAGTAAACACTTGTAATGCCAACAGGTTCATGGAAGAACAAATGCGATTGAAGGCAGTTCAAGTGTAGCTCCAATAAGCAATGGAACCGCAACATATGCACCACCGCAACTTCAACTTATACAAGTACAACCTCCAAGAGAAAAATCAATCAGACTAGGGTAAGCTTTCTCACTCAACCCACTAAATCTATAAACTTATTCAACCTTATAGTTCTTGATATTGTAGAATATGTCTGTATCTTTGAATTAGGCTACAACTTTCCTAGCAAAACATGTTGGACATGGAACAATATACGAAAAGAGGTTGTATGTCGACATCTTCATTCTTCAGTAACAACCAAGCTGGATCATTTCATTGTTGGTTTTGTAATCCTGTCTACTACTTTGGAGTTTGTATATGGCATGTTTCTCTTCGTCAAATTATTTGTCTATGTACATCATAAAATAATGATGGGATGTGAGTGTCGAACATACTAGACATCATTTTACCTTTTTTTTTTTTTTTTCATAACGGGTACATTAAATGAACAAAATCCAGTAAAATTGGCATTTTTGTGCAAAGTCCTATCTAAAAAATTTGGATTATCGAGTTACAGTCGTGGGAAAATTTGACTTAAGGGTATTAGCTTGTTTAGAGAGCACTTTAGGGTGGAGAACAGCAGAAAAAAAACGTCTTTCAGGGTAGAAATGATTTAGAAGCAATCTTTAATTAGACATAATAAACGGAAAGTGATCGGAAGTATGACTAAAAAGTAAAACGACGGAGTCTATAGAGCTAAAGAGAGAGAATTAATGTTTATGCTCTCTAACTAGAGTAATATCGGACTAGTAAAAATGATAAGCAAAACTTGGATCCTTTTTTCGTTGGAGAAAATATAATGTTGTATTTATAGAATTGTACCTCTCCGGGTTAGTATATTGGATTAAATGTTTGGATGGGTCGGGTCTATGTGTATCGGTTTAGACATGTACTAGGCACTCTCGAGAATAATTCACCAACCGCCTTTGTCTTTATACGCCTGCTAGCCGACAACATGGGAATCTCGAGGTTTAAGATGACTAGCTAATGATGTGTGATTTGTAATCTTAGGTTTTCATTTTTTTTCAATTAACCACACTAAAGTGTTGTAAGTTCACAACCAATCTATTGTAGTAGTTAAGGTATCGATCCCATGCACATAGAGTCACCTATTATACTAGGAATTTGAAAGGAAATTGATTAAGCTTGAACAAACTAGAAGGTGTTAGTTGGTGATTGCAAGAACGTAAAAATGCTGTAATGTAAAAGATGGATGAATTTGATATTAAAAATTATTAGGTTTTCAGGCCAATTGCAAGAAATCATGCAACAAAAAAATAAACAAAACGAATGGGATTCAAATATAACGATCTCAACCCCATAGGCCATAACACGGTTTTATAACTCTTCCCTTTTGAAGATCAAATCACTATGCTTTAACACCCTAATAGACTTTCGCAGGTTAAGACGCTAAGCTCATCAAATACTAGTTCAGGAAACCTACCATCACTTTTGGTGAATAGAATAATCCTAAAATTAATTAGATTGCTAAATGTTTGATGGCCATAATGACTTGTCTTCATGTATTCTGATTGGAAAATGGGAACGACCTCGAACAATTTGGAGACGAGGAAAGTTGATTCTTCTAGCTTTCCGATGGCTCCAAAATCTTCCAATTCGGTGATCGGAAAGTCATTCATATGGTGTTATACTTCTGGTACTCTAGAGTTGTGATGTAAAAGGCTTTGATTTGTATCTTTTCTCATCTTTTTTACCAAAATAACCTGAAATGACTATGAATAGTTAAAAATGCCTTTAAACTTTATGAAAATGATAGTAAAAGTAGATAAAATAAATAAATTTTATCACTGTATCATCGCCACATTAGACTACTTACAATGGTGTGTTTAATTTTTTTTATTAAACTGTTGAATCATTACAATGGTTTGTTGAAAAAATAAAAAGGCTGATGTGGATTAATTGGTGTTGAATTCTTTCAACATGTTGAATCCTTAAAAGAGAATATTAACATGTACACGTGGCGCCTTTTAATTGGTAAAAAAAATTACTTTTGAATTAAAATATAAATTAATGTATTTGCTATTGTTTTATTGGCTGTTAAGGATTTTTGGTTTTTTCTTTCTACCAAAATATTTAAGATAAATTATCTTATAGTAAATAAATTACTTTTTTATTTTTATTTATATCAAAATTCATCATTTTTTATATTCTATAAATAGAGACTTATTTCATTTGGTTTGGAAAAAGAAAAAAAAAATCATTTTTTTGTGAAATTGATCCTAACAATAATCCATTTAACATCCAAAATACTTCTAATTACTCTTTTAAACGCACAATCCTATCCAATCCGAGTCCGAGTTTACTATTTGCACTTCGGACAATATTATCCAATCCGAGTCCCACTATTCATAATGAAAATCTATATGTTCTTCTTCTTTAATATTACTTTGATTATTTTTTTAAGAATTTAAAGGAAAAATTAAAAAATTATCAACTCTTAACTATTTTATTTCAATTGTTATTGGTATATAATCATAAAACAAAAATCAAAAATAAGAAAATAATATAAAATAAAAGAGTAGGGTAGAGTGTTGAATTTTATTAAACAAAACTACTGTAAAGGACTAAAGGTTAAAATTGAAATGAATGTTGAATTATTAGGTGGAAGAGAGAGAAGATGATGTGGATTGTGGAGTGTTAAAAGGTAAAAAAAAGGGTGTTGAATAAATCAACCATTGTACATAGTCTTATACGTAGCGTAAGATGTGGTGGGTCAGACGATGTGTTACTCCTCGAAACCCTTTTTCTATAAATTTAGACAAAATTGGCAAAGTAGACACTTTTAAGAACATTAATTTGAAGAATAGACACTTTTTACAAATAATTGGCACACTTTTATCTCTATTCCTCAAACAGAATTCTCTATTAGAGAGGCTTTACGTAATGACATAGTTACCATCTTTGTTGTTTTCTTCATATATTCTATTTTTTCTTTTTTTTTTTCATTTAAATCATTTTATTTTACTTTGTTAAAAATATTTCATAAATTTTTTAATCACAATAACATATTAATCTTTTTTTTTTTTTTGTGAATCTAAAATGTCCAAATTTGCTATATTTCGCAGATATATAACGTTTTATTTTACTTAATCTCAACTTGATGGTGTACGTGATAATGTTAAAAGTGGTATACATACGATAGTGTACGATAATAATGTAAAAGATAATGTATGATATTGATGTAAGAAGTGGTATATCAGGTATGACGGTGTACAAAGTGGTGTACAAACGATAATCTATAGTGGTGTACCAACACATCGTGTACCGTCTACTTTCACACATATTGTACACTACGTTTATAATAGAGAGAACTATTTTCGTCGGTGTACTTGATGGTCTATGAGATAGTGTATAAGCATCAATATACGAAATGATCAGGTGTACAAACGTTAGTATACAAAACGATGTTTAAAGGATACAAGATTGGTATACGACATGTACAAATCTTGGTGTACACTACGAGAGAATATATATACCATCACTTCTCTTTAATGGTGTACATCACACTTGTCTACCATCATGTTCAATTTGGTAATGTACACCATCATGTACACTGACGAAAATAGTTTTCTCTTTTTGAAGAATAAAAAAAACTTTAAAAGAACACGAGTTTACAAAAAAAAAGAAAAGAAAAAAGAAAAATAAAATAAAAATGTATCTACATATATATATATATATATATATATATATCTCTATTAAACAAGGTTAATTTGGTCTTTGATATGTTATTTTGTCTTTTAGTCTATTACATACTACTCTATTTTACAAAAAGCAAAAAGTGTCTATTTCACAAAATATTTTTAAAAAGTGTCTATTCTTCTAATTTCTTTTCAAAAGGTGTCTACTTAGCAAACAAACCAATTTAGACAAAATTGGCAAAGTAGGCACCATAAATTTAATCGTTATGTGGAGTCGAGATGAACTATACATCACATGTGGTATGTGTAAGGTTAATAATTTTCATCGTTTAACTATAGGGATGAGATGAATATAATTGAATATTTGAATATAACGTTTAAAAAGAGTATATATATCTTTGTGAATATACGTGCGCGAATAAATATTCTTTTTTTTTTCTTATAAAGATTTCAAAGACGGTGGCGCCCATAGGTATTGCGTGTGTAACGCTTACCTTACATAGTTTTGACACAAGCTAGAATTGTTAAACCACATGCCATCATTTTCAATTCTTTATATATCTCCTGCCTAATCAATCTAGCGGCTCCCACAGAAAATTACTCTCCTCCATACCAATCTTTGTTTATTTTTTGCATGTCTATCTGTCACACAACAATTGTTTATGTATATATATTGACGCATACATTCACTCTCCAAATTAATCATAAGCTTATCTAGTTCTTGATTGTTCAAACTTCAAAGATCTTTTGATCCATCAATGGCACCATCCGCTGCAATGCTCATACTCTCACATCCTCTAATTAGCCACAAAACGATGAATCAGTCTCCATCGTCGCCAGCTGTTAAGTCAACACGTGTCTTTGATTTTCTTTTGCCTTGGAAGGCATCAGACGGTGAGGATCGTTCCGCGGTTGGTCTTGGCCGGCTATTTGGCGATCCGGCTACTATCGAGAAGCGCTTCCAAGAAGCTCTTGAACTTAGCTGCTGGTAATTTATTTGAACAATGTCTTTTTTTTTTTTTTGGGCAAAGTATAATGTATTGTGTTTGGGTTTATTACTTGTTGTTTCGTTTTCATGTAAAAAAGCCTTGTCTTGGAAATGAAAGTTATGTAAAGTCAAAAATTGATTAGGTATAATTAAATGTATTCTGCTTTAATTTAAGTTAAATGTATATGTATATATCCACTTTTAACTCTACAAAACTTCCATTTTCAAGACATTTAATCATACATAATCAACTTGAGATTCATGCATCATCAAAGTGGTTAAGGCTCCTTTAACAACTTTGTGAAGGCAACGAAGGCAACATATACACCAATAGGTGAGCAAAATAGAGCACGTGGAGGCAAATATCCGAACCCCCTTAAAGACAGATTCACCATTACTCCATTAGGTGATCAAAATCAAGAATGGAAAACAAAATTCAAAACCTAAAGAGAGTTAAAGACAGAATAATTGGTTTTAACACTTAAATTATACTTAAAACTTATATGTAATTTGGTTTTAAAACTTATATCCCTAGAACTCAAGTTGACTATTGATATTCTTCTCTAGATTTGAGGTTAAAATATATATATTGTATGCTATGTCTAATTTTACACTAAAATACTAAAACGAGAATTATTTTAAACAAAAAAAATAATCAAACTACATTAAATTTGAAACTGATGAAAAACTAATAACTAGTGAGCTCATGTTGTTGTTTCTAGGGAAATAACTGTTGTGCCATATTGGCCAATCAAGGGAAATATAAGATTGATACTTATAAGAGATAGTTAATGTGATAAAATATTTGTTCAAAATTTATAAGATCTAGTATTTGAAAACAAGTTTTTTTAAAAAAAAGTTTGAATCGGAGTTCTATTCAGTATTCACACTTGCATATGTTAAAAGATGACTCATGATAACTAATGATAGATTTTTATTTGTGATGTATATCTATTAATCTTGTATAAAAAAGTTGATACATTGAGCAAATTATCCTTTTTTTTTTTTTTTTTTGACATCTTTGGATCGACAAGACCCGATTCATACAATCCCTACTACGCGGGGTAACGCGACTTATTAGAGTCGAACTCCGATGGAGAAAGCGGAGTCAAGTGGACTTAACCACTTGACTAAAGGCACATCCCCAACAAATTATCCTTATTATAAACTGTAACTACTAAAGTTTATGTCGTAATATTTTAAGATCAAATTGAATAAAATATATCATAGTTTACAAGTGAAATGAAGAAATTTGTATACCTTGTGTTGTTGAAATAAATCTAGTTTTGTTTGTAATTAATTATAGCTCGTGTAGTTTTGACTAGACATGACCAAAAGCTAACTGTAACCGTATTTTGGACCGTAACCGGACCGTTTCTCAACCGTAACCGGACCGTAACCAGACCGTAACCGTATAAAACGGTTAAAAACCGTAACCAGTAACCGTCAAAATAGATTAGTTACGGTTAAAAAATATACTAACCGTAACCGTTAATTAACCGTAAACGTGTCAAACCCGTTAGTTAACTGTACGGGTACGGTTAACCGTACTATTAACCGCATAATTAAAACTTTAAAAATATAATTGTAGCTGCGTATAATGCAAAAACAAATATCGAATGTTCAGATAAAGATTTTCAAAAAAAGTAAATAATACCGCACATTAAAAAATCTACGTCAGGAAAAATGGTTTTTTTTCTCAAACAAATATATTCTAATGCTATATTGCTAAAAATGAAGAAAATTTGGTTTATAACATATTTTTCCATCTTATTAAAAGTAGTATAAAAAGTTAGTTAACTCGTAAGATTTTACCTCTGATATTAAAAGTATCGTAATTATCAGATAACCACAGTGGCGGAGATAGGGTTATAGCATGGGGGTCAATTGACACCCATGGATTTTTTAAACCTAGCTAAATTTTGATTGGTAATTGTAAATTGACCCCATTACAAAATAAAAATTGACCCCCATCAAATTTTAATTTAAGAGCAAACTACTAAATATATATCTATATATATATACTAAAAAAATGTTATATTAATTTATACTAAATATTAAGCTAAGAGTTAAACTTTACAAATAAATATACAAATAAATCTAAAATAAAAACATGAATGAATTCAACTTCAACCTAATAACTATATCTCTCGTTACTTTAGGATTTTTCCTATTTTCTTCTTTTTATAATCACCATTATCCATTGAAAATCACTTTAAAATAACATTAAGGTAAAACTTTATATATATTTTAATTTGAACTAAAATGTTTTGATGATTTTGCTCGTATATTAAGAAAAATTTCATCTTTTGATTTATTGACTTTTAAAACTATTATTGATTTTTTTTCTATGAATATTGTGAAAACGACTTCGTATAATCGTCTCGTTGATATCATTTCAATGATTGTTTAGTTTTTCAATTGAAAATATAAGCTAAATTGTGGCAAACGAGACAATAATAAATCGATTACAATATATAGTATAGTTGTGATGATATTTTTATTTTTTTCTAATAAAGTTGATATAATTTTGTATATCCAAAAAAAAATTTGACCCCTATAAACAATTTTTCTGGCTCCGCCACTGGATAACCATAATCGTATTTAACCGTAACCGTTGTAACCATAACCGTATTTAACCGTAACTATTTTAACCGTATATATAGAGGTTAAAGTTACTATTAAAAAAAATTTATAACCGTAACCGGTGGTTAATCGACCGTAACCGTAATAACCGTAACCGTAGTCATGCCTAGACCATGTTAAAGTCTAGTCTTTGCCAAGACCCAAGATCCAAGATCCGAGATATACCCACTCTGGATCCGACCTATTTATTCATCTCTTTCTTAAGCCGTCACATTTCAATTTCAATTCAGATCGTTGAACAATAATGGACTCGTCGGAGATCGAAGTAGTGCCTCTGGATTCCAACTCTCACCAAAACCCTAACGATTCACCAACCATCACCGACGTCTTCTCCGCCTCTGCTTATGGCGATCTCCACCAACTTAAGCATTTCGTCGAACATAATGGCTCTTCAGTTTCTCTTCCCGACGATAATGGCTACTACGCTCTTCAATGGGCAGCACTCAACAATTCCCTCCACGTTGCTCAATATATCATCGAGGTACCAATTTCTCGATAACTTAGGTCTGTGATAGTTTCGGTGTAGTGATGGATTTGGATGTGACATATCTGCAGCATGGTGGTGATGTTAATTCAGCTGATAATATACAACAGACACCATTGCATTGGGCAGCTGTTAAAGGCTCCATTGATGTTGCTGACCTTTTACTGCAAAATGGAGCTCGTATTGAAGCTGTTGATGTCAATGGGTTCAGGGTATATCTTCTTTCTGTGGTAATTTCATGTGTTTTTTTTTTTTTTTCTGCTAAAGAAGTGTGAAAATGATCAGAAGTTTTATGTTTTGGGTTTGGCTAGTTTTCTTTAGTTAGCTAGTATTTCAGGATTAGTAGCTATAGAAGTTTGGTCATAGGCTTGAGATAAGCTTTCGTTTATCTTACGACATGTTTTGTTGTGCAGGCAGTTCATGTTGCTTCTCAATATGGACAGACAGCATTCTTGAATCATATTATTGTGGACTATGCAGCTGATTATAACGCACTGGATAATGAAGGGAGGAGTCCACTACATTGGTATGACTACTGAAGATATTAATGGTTCCATACAGTGTGTGTTGACAATTTGCGGAGAACTACTTTGAACTGTATATTTTTTCCTTGTTTGTATGACTCAGGGCTGCTTACAATGGATTCACAGAAACAGTTCGATTACTTCTCTTCCGGGATGCATGTCAAAATAGACAAGATAACACAGGCAAAACGGAAACTCTTAATACTTTCTTTTAACTCTATCTACTCGTCTGCTCTAGAATTAATAAAGAATGGCTTGCAAAGGAATTTTTTCTGTACCTTATGACGTGTAAAGATAAGTGCAAAAACGGATAAGATTTTCTGCACTCCAATCTTTGAGTGTTTATTTATGGAGGGATTGTTATAGCATTCCAGACTGTTTTTGACTTGCGAAAAGTGTAGAATGCTGATACCCTGATGTATATTTTACTTTATTTTCTTAGATATAAAATTCTTACGTTAGTCACTTTACTTCGTCAGGTTGCACTCCTTTGCACTGGGCTGTAATTAAGGAAAATGTTGAGGCTTGTACACTGTTAGTTCATGCTGGAACTAAAGAGGAACTGATATTGGAAGATAACACTGGATCCACTCCACTTAAGCTTGCATCTGATAAAGGTCACAGGCAGCTCGCTCTTTTCCTTGTACGTAATGTTTAGTGTTGCTTGCTATCCTTCTAACATCCGTAAAAGGAACACATCTTGATTATTCAGAATAAGCTTTTTGAAATTTGATTTGTGAACCCCGCATTTGGTTGCTGGTTTACTCCTGTTTACAAAATGTTTCCAGCAAAATACCCTTTTAAATTTCTGTAATATTGTATACAAAAATATGAAAAAACAATAGCATTGAACATATGAAAGTCTGATGTACATATGGTTATAAGTGTACAGTTATTATATCAGTCTTAAACGAAAAAAAGAAGGCAGCGTTGGTATATATATATTTTCTTATGCAGTTCTAACTCAGATTTTCTTTTTACTATACTTAACTGAATTGGCTCTGATTCTCAGATATAGTAAAACATCATTGTGGTAGAAAACTTGTTTCTACTGTCTGTTATAGGTTCACAGTAGATTTTAGAGTTCACAGTATTAGAGATGACTTGTTAAATGGTGGTACAGTTTGTTCAATGTTTTTTTTTTCGTTTTTTTTTCCTTAAAGTTGTTATCATTTGATCTGATGTGCTTTCTGAGAATCCGGTTTTTGATATATTTCAGTCGAAGGCAATGCGAACTCATAATAATAGTTTTTTGGACAAGATCTTTTGTGGAAAATTGGGAGAGACTAGCTATGCTCCTATGTTGTTCAGCTTAATAGTCATTCTTATGGTCCTCTTCATCACATCCATTGTTTCAGGTAATAACCCATACAGCAAAGTAGTGTGTGTGTTGATGTTCTTACTAATGGAATATACTCTTTCGTCCTGACATTTTGCATTTATGTGTAGCTTCTAATCTCCCAAAGATAACTGCTATGGTTGGTCTATGGGCGTGTTTCGGTCTTTCATGTGGTGTTTACGCACTGATAGCTTTCTATCGTGTTACCAGGTATCCTTTTTAGTCATCTTCACTTTATCTGAATTTTTTGTGCATATTTTAGTTTGATGTACTTATTTAATGAGTCGCGAGAAATAATATTACTTCCTTCATTAAGAAATGAGAGGTAGACATGTGAGGCTGTAACTAGTACTTTGTAGTGACTCTGAGAGAGTTGAATACGGTGTAATGGTCTTGGAGTGATTAATTAGTCTCTGTTTTGTACAGAAAAGATCCCGGGTACGTTAAAAGAACTGGTGAAGTTAACAGCCAACATACTGCCAACGTAAGTTGAATTTTCTTCCCATGTTTCCATGTTAAGAGAAATGTGAACATTCAGAGTAAACTTTTGATCTAAATTTGGTTTATGCATACATATACCAAATCAATATGCAGTTGTTAATTGTTTAAGCTTTTTGTCCTAAACATGCTGTACTATGCCTGAATATAAGTAGACACCAATTGTAGATTGATCGAACAGTAATAAGGTGTTAATTCCGAAAGGTTTCTTCTGATGGTTTCAGGACCCTTTGATTGATATCAATTTCAAAAACCCCTCATGGAAAGGAAACTGGTCCCAACTCTGCCCTACTTGCAAGGTTTTCCTAAGCCGTTTTTTTTTAAGGGAAAACAACATGTTCTTTATTTTCTGACTACAATTATCACATTTTCTTCAGATAATTAGACCGGTGCGATCTAAGCACTGTCCCACCTGTAAGCGCTGCGTTGAGCAGTTTGACCATCACTGCCCTTGGATTTCCAACTGTGTCGGTAAAGTAAGAGTTCTTTGCATGGCGAAGCTCTCTCCCTTGTTGTTCTGGAAATTAATTGGCGAGGATATAATAATGACATGAATCACCCTCTTATGCATATTTTTATCGGGGAACGGTATCTTTATACAATTACTCATCTCGCAGAAAAATAAACGCGACTTTTTAGTCTTTGTGATCATGGGAGCTTTAACATCATTCGTTGGTGGCACAACTGCTGTTCAAAGTATGTGACTGAAACAACTCCCCCTCGCAATCCTGCCATTAGATTTTGCTACTCTAAAGCATCTGTTTTTGCTACAGGATTATGGAGAGGTATCCCACAGATACACCACAGAGAATCATGGATTAAACATATAGTCATTGAACACCCCGATGCTGCTGTGTTTCTGTTTTTCGACTTACTCATTTTCATTGCGACAATGACGTTGACAATCTCACAATCTTATATGGTCAGGAAATCTTTTAGCTAAAATAAAGAATTGGCTCTCCCTCCCCCCTTGCAAATGATTTGATAATAGTTATTCTTGTCTGATGCAGATAGCTCGGAATATTACAACCAACGAATTATGGAACGCAAAAAGATTCAGTTATTTGCGGGGACCTGATGGAAGATTCTACAACCCATATAACCACGGCTGGCGAAGAAACTGCACCGATTTTTTGCTTCATGGCTACACCAGGGACGACGAGGTTGTCCCGTCTTCAATTCTCTGAATTTACATCTCCTCATCTCATTGTTACATGCACAAACCTTCTGATTCAGTGTAATATGTATATAGATATCTCCTATGTTGCAAAGTGGGTTCAAGTTTCTTCTCCTTTACTTGACACACGTCTTACACTGTAATTTTTTCCTTTATATCACTCACCAGTTTTACCATAATGCTAATCAACCCCCATAGTCTCCAATCCCTCGATGAAAAATGATTTTTAAATGTCCAATGTTCCAACGACAAGTAAAAGATTTTTATTTGACTCATCAATGGGTCATAGGCTTTAACCGGATCACTGGTTTTTGTTGGGGGTTTCTGCATTTAAACGGGTCAAAAGGTCACAGTTTTAAGGTATAACCAGACCGGATTAGTTTCCGAGTCACAATATGCCCAGTCCAACCAACCAGATTGGTCAGTATTTCAAAACAATGCAGCTCTATCACTTAGTTAGAATCCCATTCATTGGTTACATTAGTGCTTATAGTCCGGGTTTCAAAACACTGCAGCAATGGCATTGTCTTTTTCTTTTGGGTATAAAACGTCTATGGAAATAACATTCTGGTTCGCATTAACAAAAAACTCTGTGAATGCGCATGCATACGTGAATGTGATGTTTATCTTGTAGTAACAAACTTGAAAATATGAACATAGGTCCCGAAGAAATGAACAAATGAGCAGCTTTCTTTCCATCAAATACTTTATCTCATAAGTGCTTTCATCTTTTCATTGGCAACCACGAGTTCCGCTGCTATTCCTGGCTCATTTGCCGAGTGCCCAGCATCATAAACAATCTACAGACCGTTGGTCGCGTTACGTTACGAGAAGCAGTAAAACAGAAATAGAAAAAGACCTTGCAGAAAACTTGGAAAAGACTTTACTTACCTTGAGTTCTGCCTCTGGCCATGCTTTGTGCAGATCCCAAGCAGACATCATAGGACAACATACGTCATACCTTCCCTGTTCATTTTAATAATCCAGACCCAGTCTCAATCCCATAATATATAATGTATATAGCCAAATCAATGTTGTGTTTTACAACGTGAGAAATCTAAGGCCGATGATTTTTTTTGTTGCCTGTGTTTCTATATCCTATTGTTTACACAACTCGGCTTCATTGGATCAATCTCCAAACAAATGGAATCCACAATTCCAGTTCTTATATGAAGGATGTACCTGAACAATGGTGGTCTTGATATGTCGTATTTTATCAACATTGTCTAGCAAGTATGAATCCGATGGAAAGAAACCTTTGTTAACAAAGTAGTGATTTTCAATCCTTGCAAACGCCTGCAACACAAAGCCAAGGGTTGTTAAGAAATCAGTTTAAAGATCATGTATGAGCATATTATATAGCAACAGGTCACCGAATCCAGATAGAACCGGAATATCCCTCAAACTAACCAAAGAAAATTTATCATCCTCTGCCTTTTGAACGTTTTCAAGATTTGGACGAAGATAAGCAGTCATCATTTCCCATTTAGTCCAAGCTCTTGCAGCTGCATACTACAAGATCATAATAATGCAATAATTACTATTGTAGACAGACACGGACATTTATTAGTCCAAACTCTTTCGGCTATAAACTAAAAGATGAAAGTTCAATTGCTGTAATTGTCAAAAAGAACGATGATCAATGCATTTTATCATGTAATAGTGATTAGATCTCAACGTACTTGAGTTTCCAGATCATCAGAATTCAATCTTTTGTGATATGCATCCACAAGGCTACCTCTCTCGTTTTCTGGAATAAGATCTCTGAACTCCTCCCAAGCTTTAAAAAAACAGAAACAAACACTTATGAAGAAGACAAATATGGAATCTACTGCACTTAAAACTCTAGTACCAAGATCAATAAGCTCAACTAGAGATGTAATCAATTCAAATCACAGAAGACTGCAATATAATGAAACTCAATAATTCCAACACAGGGATACAAGAAAAAGAATTACCATCAGGGTATATAGCAGCAGCACCACCCTCGTAAAACCAATCAATCTCCTTTTTACGCAACAAAAAGATCCCTCTAAGGACTAAACCAGTAACCTTGCACCAAGAAAGTTAAAATATGTGAAATTATGGATTAAGAAACAAAAGAAAACTACCTAATAGATCATCTTCCAATCAATCAAATCCCTAAACCACCCCTGTTATTCTTCTTGCAACCTCGATTATGCAATTAGATTCCTAACAAAGTATCAATTTTCTCAGATCTAAGAACGTAAAAATCAAGATTTGCACCTTGTCAGGGTGAGACTGGCTGTACGCAAGTGCTAGAGTGCTTCCCCATGATCCACCAAAAACCTGAGCAAACAGAGGGAAAAAAATGTTCACGCACTTACGCATATTTCCATCTCAACAACATCAAGAACAATATATATGGAAGAAACTTTCTCACCAGCCATTCCGGTATTTTCAAATGTTCTCTTAGTTTTTCAATATCATTTACAAGGTCCCATGTGGTGTTTTCCTCCAAGCAAGCATGTGGTGTACTCTTTCCTGCACCTCTCTAGAAGAAAACAAGACAAGAAAAAGTTAAAGAGGAATATACAAGTTGGATAAATGTAATGTAGTGTCCACGAAATTCAGAGACCGACCTGGTCAAACAGAATAATGCGATAAAACTCAGGATCGAAGACTCTCCTATTACCAGGAGCTGTCCCTCCTCCCGGCCCTCCGTGAAGAAAAACAACTGGCTGCAATATGTTAGTTCCCAAGATACAATGGAAAAGTTAGAAACTTGAAGACATATAAGACCAAAGTTATAACTCCAACACATTTGATTTCATCATCATATCCAAAAAATAACTGATTGATACATTCAATTTTCACAGTGATATGATAACAATGATGGCTTTACGTACGTGTCCATCGGGTTTTCCTGATTGCTCCCAGTAGAGTGTGTGAACATCTGAAACCTTTAAATTTCCAGTGCTATATGGCTCAATAGGAGCATAAAGATTTCTCTTGTTCACCAACGTTTCTGCTTCAGGTTCCATTAAATCACTCTTCAACACCTCACTCATACCGCAACTAACGGAAATCGCGCGTAATTTAATCTTTCGTTGCCCTACTAAATATCAAACAAAGCTCAATTCATATGATGATGATTACTAACTAACAAATGGTTTTGAGTTTCAAGTTTAAAACTTTAAAAAAATTAACTTGAAAACTCCAAAACCCCCAAAATTCAAGATATATATCCTCAAGGCAAAAAATTGTAAGATTAGATAAATACTGAAGTAAAAAAAAAATAAAAAAAAATTCACAGAAACCCTAGGAGCTATGATTAAGGATCATGAGAATGATTAGTAGTGGACATGTGACAACAAAATTCTTATAAGATCGTAGCAGAGAGAGATAGAGTGAGACCTGAGAATGAAGGATTGAGATTGTTATGGTTTGGTGGAAAGAATCGAACACAGAAGCAAGGGGCCAAAGAGGATGATGCAAGAACCAATTTCATAGTATTTGACCCGTTTTAACATTTTCTCCATAATAAAACACACACGGGTCGGATCCTTAATGATACCAATCGGGTTGAGATTTTTTTACCAACGTTAATCCTTATTTTAACATTACTAATCGGGTGAAATATAAACTCGGTTTCAATATTGCTTGCTTAAATCTACTACTGTAGGACGAAAAAAAAAAAAAAACATACTGTACTACTTATTAGTTTCATCATATGATCGAGTAAACATTCTCTACTACCAACACGTTTAGAGGATAAATTAATCATAAGATCAGAATACTAAATTGCAACATCAATATTGAAACATAATGTATTACTCTTTCCTTTTCAAAATATAATACATTGTAGTTAAAACACAGAGAGTAAGAAATATCCACTTTTAAAAAGTTCAACCAATCGTGAATGAGACTGCATAATAGAAATAATAAAAAAATATTAAATTAATATATAATTTGCATAAAAACTTGAAAACATCTTACATTTTGAAACAAAAATAATACCATAAAACGTCTTACATTTTGAAACGGAAGGAGTAATATACTAGGTGAGGTGAAGATCTATGTGAAAATCTCTAAACGAATGCAACATCAATATTGAAACATAATGTTTATTAAATTCTTTAAACCCCCAAGTTTAGTTTTGCCTTAGACAGATTATTCTTCTTTGAATTCAATCCTCATAACTATCACTCTATATGGGATCGATCCTGAAATACTACTACTGATTATTATGCACTTGGATTTAATGTGTGGTCTCTAAGGTAAAACCTTGAAGCGAAATTAATCGTAAATCAAGCTTTTTGGCGCCTTTGCTGGAGTGATTCTAGCTACCATTGAATTCGATAAGAAATCTCTTCTAAGATACTTTGAGTTTTTTGTTTAAATTCTTGATTTTTACTTTTTCTTTTTTTCGATAATCTTTGTTTTCCTTTTAGTTTCTGTTTTTTGGTATTTGCAGTGTATGACAAGGAGTCAAAACTCAGGTTTACCTCCATACCAAGACATTGATCGACTAGAATATGATATCAGAAAACTTCGAAGACAACAACTCATGGCCGATCAAAGGAACCTAGACGAAGGTATCCTTCATGATCCGCAATAACAAGTTCCAGCCCTAGACGAGCATGGACAGCCCTTACATGATGAAGATAGCAACCCCATCTACGAACCTGGTAAAGAACAACCCAACCCTCTAGTTTGCGGAGACCAAGATCAACAAGAAGCTCCACGTGAAGCTAATCCTTTAGGTGTAGGAGACAACATCAACGTTCCTCCTCTACAACGTCCTAATGTCATCAATGCCCAACATACTCCTAATGTTGCTGCAAAACATGCTGCTTATGTGCCCCCTCTGAGACGTGCCACTCCCAACCGTACGATACCCGATTTTGACGCTATGAGATAAAACCTCAAATCACTGATCTTGTGAAGCAAAACCAATTCCATTGTTTAAGTACGGAACATCCGATGGATCATATCGATCTTTTCAAAGAAATTTGCAGTACTACCATAACTCATTGAATACCCGAAGACTATTTGAAGTGTAAGCTTTTCCCTTTTTCTCTAGCCGACAAGGCTCATAGATGGTTAAAGTCTTTACCCCCAGGATCGATTTCTAATTAGGAAGGATGCAAGTCAATCTTTCTAAACCACTTCTACAAGAAGTCGAGATCCAACTCACTGCAAAACAAGTTGTAAGGATTCTAACAAGGACATGTTGAATCTTTTTACGAAACATAGGAATGTTTCAAGGACTACAAACGCGATTGTCCTCACCATGGCTTCACTAAAGGTAACCACTTACATACCTTATATAGAGGATTACATCCCAATTTCAATTTTCACTCGACACAGCTAGCGATGGAGATTTCACTACCAAGACCGTTCAAGAAGGACAAGCTCTCATAGAAAACCTTGTTGTAAGAAACAGCAACGCTTGCACCGATTTTGATAGAACCATCCGTTTTATTAATTTAGAAGCAAATCAACGAGCTTAAAAACATGATGAGTCAACTTCTAAGGAACCAAAACCGTGTCGTGAATGCATGTGAGACTATTGGAAATGGAAACATTGAAGCTTTCCAAAATTTTAATGATACATTTGATCAAGAAGAAGAAGTCAACTACGTTAGTTCCCAAGGGTTCTACCAAAACCGCGGATACAACAACAACTTCAACAACAACTTTAGGAACGCTTCTAACCTTTCTTACAGGAACCCGAAGGTGGAGAATCCTCATGATCAAAGCTATCCAAAAACAAGGTGTGCCCTTCGTTCCTCTCTCTAATATCTCGCAGCCATCAAGGAGAAGACGACCAGAAGCTTTCCAAGCTCTCCGATCTCATCTCTCGCCGCCGTTCACCGCCGGAGTCGTCACCACCACTTATATTCTCTCTTGTTTCTGTTCTCTACTTTTTTAAGGAAGAAGAATCATCTACTTTTTATTCTAGAGAAGATCTCTAAACCATTTTCTATATATACTCATACTCTTTTATGTAATCTCTTATTCATATGATGTCGCTTTCTATGAGTATGTGTGAGTAGTTTACTCGTTGGGTATAAGGGTGTCGATGGGGATTTGTGGATCTGTTTTCTAGGGTTTATTAGATTTATATTTAGGTCATCTTAGTTCTTCGTTCTAGGTTTGTTCTTAATGCATATTGCTTGAATAGCTAACTAGTAATTGATCTTAGGTGGTTTTACACATCACAAGTATGTAAACATCGCTTGCACTAGCCTAGATGTGAGTATCGTGTTATAACATGCGAAGTGGAAAGTCGATTTAAGGTTTAGAACAAGTATTTATAGGCCTCGGGAAGTAGAAATTTGGTTTAGGGTTTTTCTAGGAAAACTACGTACTTTCATTTAAGTGCAGAGACGACAGTGCTTCAGCCCGGCCACAAGGTTTCTAACCATGCTTAGCATAAGGCTCCAGACCGGTCACGTGGGCTGTGACCGGGAGGGGCTTCACCACTGGTCACACGCCTTGTGACCGGTCTCAGACAGTCTCTCTTCAATCGGTTGTAACTTCTGTTTGGCAGACCGGATTGAGTTATTTCTTCCTCTATAGTAATCTTGACTCTACTAGATTTACATAGAGTCTAGGATCTCTCAATTAGGTGTAGGGTAAGACTTTAAACGGAAGACAAAATTCTGGTGCTTCGAAACTGTCTTGAAACGGGTTTTGCTCGTCTTTTGGTCCATTTTGTCTTGAAACTCATAAAACTTTCTTGACTCCAAAAACTTTCTCCGGGGAAAGGCTATAAGAGTAATGAGAAAACACAGTTGCCCCTTGCTTTTGGTCAAGTTACTATTATTTTTGCTTCAAGATTCTTTGTCTTAGAAAATGCAAACGAGTCAAAGGAGGACGAAACAGAGTCACTCGCCACTGACAATAAAAAAGAAGATGATGATAAGCAGAAGGATGCTCTTGTTGATATCAATGCTACTATGAAGAATTCACTCCCGGTAATGGAGAAGGCTAGTTCAATACGAGCTACACGTCAAATGAATAATTCAAAGAAAGCTTTCACAGAGTCTCTTTCTCAACATGCTAAGGCTATCCCTAGTGTTTCGAGCAAAAAGAAGTCCAAAAAACATCATTCTTGTCAGGATTCTTCTGGAATGTGCGCGGCTTCAATAAATCAAAAAAATATTCCATTGTTCGTGATTGTATACAAGAAGAATCTCTACAATTTGATGTTTACTGGAAACACGTGTTCAAGAAAATAAAGCCTCTCGGATTATATCCACTGTTTTTTAAGGCTGGTCTTCAATGACTAACTGTGAATTCAATGATTTTGTGAAGAATATGGGTTGTTTGAAGGGACAACCTTAGGGTGACACCTGTTTACAACAGTGATCAGCTAATTACTTGTTCAGTTTTCATGGAGGGAGCTTCCACGGAAATTTTCATCTCTTTTGTCTACGCAGCTAACCTAGCAAAGGATAGGAAAGAATTGTGGGAAGACCTTAAATTTTAACAGGATACCAATGATGCTCAGTATAATTATGTAGACCTCGTATGTGTATGTAACTTCTAAAGAACATTCTTAATAGGAGGAAAGCATTCCAAACTCGGTATAGGCAGTGTGGTGGTCCTTCGAGGACAAATCCACTCTGTACCACTTCGGTGTGTTCCTACCGAGGCTGACTGGACCAGTCGATAGGGTTTATAAAAAAAAAGAACATTGTTGATACTGAGGATCGAACTTTCTGTTTTGTCCCCTGATTTTCAGGCATATATAGGTCTCTCTTTGTGCATCATTTAAAATCTGCAAAGGAATAGTCGGAAACTACTTTGTAAAATCCAAGGCCAGTCTCTTCCGACGGGTGAATGCAGTAAGAAGCTGTTGCTAAGCCTAATTAAGAACCCGCCTCTTTTACAAAAACTATGAAGCGGTTTCTACATCGTCAAACGCTGTCACTCAGTTCAAAACAATAAAACATGGAGATTGATTAGTCGAGAGGTTTGTAGACTTTAAGGTTAATTGTTTAGTCTGCAAAAGTTCTTACGAGTATCACCAATACAACACTGGCCAGTCCACTGTGTTACTGTTTTGAACACTCTTGGTTCTTTTGTTTTCTTCCTTCATTCTATATGTTTTATCTTACATTTTCGTTAATCATAACTGATCAATGAAGAATCATATATTCGATTTTAGAACCTATAAGTACTACATATCTGGAGGATCACATGACATATCACGGCTTATGACGGGTGGTAAACTGAAGATGGTTAAAAAGGACATGCTTTCCATCACAATGACCAAAATACCGGCAAGATTCGTTTAGTATTACATAAAACTAAATGGCTTGTTACTTTCAAGGTAAAACACAAACTTGAGAATTTTGCGACATCAGCACAGGTTAGTCTTGATCAGCATCTTCAAGTTCTTCATCTTCTGGCACGCCTCGGACATACAAGACGTTGTTGCATCTGTGAGCACAAAGTCAGAACATTAATACAATGGATACAAAAGTTTCAGCAATTGCAAACCTGATTATTAGTGAATGAATCCATAACTAACAGAGACGAGATGATGAATGTATATCTAGTATCTAATGGCCAAGTTCAATGCTTAAGTTATATCAACTAATGTCACTTCACTGAGAACTATCTCATTCAAGGAGACAATAAAGTAACGGTAAGACTTTCAGAATGCAGTAAGACAAGTATTACCTGATCAAGATCTCTCCAAGGTTTCCTGTCAATTGCCCATCGATGTATTCCTCGGTGTTTCCCAGCTGCAAAACAGTATGGAAAATCTCAATGACTACAATGAATAACGATCCATGTATTACATACCACTAATAGTAGGTTTTCTAAAACTTTTTAAGGAGCATTTAACAACAAAATAACATTAATCTCTGTTTCAAATTTCAATGACAAGAATATAATATAACATTAGCAATATCGAATTGCACATAGAAGCTAAGACCATACCTGCAAGTTCATGTAGGAGTCAACAGAAGCGAGAAAACCTGTGAAAGTGACAATAAGATATTATAAGCTCTACTTATCAAACTGCAAAATTTCACCAGACAAAAGAAAAAGACCTTTGTATTCCATTCCCCATTTAAGCTTAACGATAACCGTCTTCCCGGTCAAGTTGTTCAAGAATGGTTTCGGGTTTACTGGTATGGTCTGCAAAACAATATACAAACATATAAATCAGAGGATGAAATTTTCCTAAAGACAACACATTGTTCTTTAATTACATGTAAAACAATAGTAACCTAAAAATCAACTATAGTAGTGGATCAATTACAAACCAAGCTTCGTACATAAATAATGAAAAATCTAACTTTTAGAAATCTAAAACCAAACCCATCAATCCTGATTCGAAAACACTCCAGTATTTAATTCTAATTGGACAAATCAACAAGAAAAGAGCTCGAATTTCAGAGCTTTTGCAAACCCTAATAATACTACTTAACAAATAAATTATAACGTTGAGTTCCACAAAGAAATAAGAAATCTGGAATCGAAATCTTGGATTAGCGAAGTAAGATTAAAAACTTACAGCCATGAGTTAGCAGCGAACGAAGATTTGTCGGGAGGTTTTTGGAACGACGACGATTGTGTGCTTCTGACAAACCTCAAAAGTGTGTTTCTTAATCATTCTCAAAAGGCCCTATTACGGCCCATTAATTGTCCAATTTCTATTTCTGTGTCCAACCCAAACAACTAGTTTGTTGTGTTTGTGATGGAGGCTGTTTCATGATTACATAGTCTATGGGCGCGAATGTTGCAAAATAAGTGTAAAATAAAAACGATGCTATGAATTATGAAACACATTAATTTATTAAGGGCTTTATTGGTTCTCCCGCTAGCAGATGTCAGTTACGGTTGTTAGCGGTTGGTACTAATCATAGAAACCACTCCATACCGTTTTGAACCGCTCCAAATCTCTGGATTTCAAAAGCTTCTTCCCGCAAGCGTTTGCGGTTGCGGGCGGTAGCGGTTGGATTAAAAAAAAAAAACGTTTACTTATAATTATTATAATAAATATTAATCCTATATATATCTTCCATCTTTGTATCACGTTCTCTTCAGAAAACTCTAATCAATATTCTGAAACCATATTCTCTCAATTATGTCTTCCACCCAAACTGATGAAAATCAAGAAATAAACGTAAGTATCATATATTCTTTTATTCATTCATCACCTCATGTGTAAATCTTTGAATATTTTTCATTGCATCTTTTTTTTTCATTATGTATTGTTTTGCTTTTTGATTAAATATATGTTTCGATTTCTTTTCTCGAATAGAAACTCACTCTGTCAGACGAGATGACTCGTTTCTTGTTAGAATTGATAACACTAGAGAAACAAGATGGAAATTGCAGAGGCAAAAGTTTGAGTGAGAAAGGAAAAGAAAATGTTCTCACAGAATTTAAAAAGCAATTTCCACTAACCTTAAACTGGAACAAAATTAAGAACAGACTTGATACTTTAAAGAAGCAATACGAAGTCTATTTGCAGTTTGTAAAAGAAATCCGGGAAATCTGTGAATTTAACGTTATTTGCAGTTTGTCCTATTACTTGATGCAATTTTTGGTGTTAAACTAGATGCATAAAGTACTATCTTGTTGCAAAATTTTTTTATTTTTGAATAATTATTTAGTACTTTATTTATGGTTTTAATTATTAAGCATGTTCAATTTTTCTAATATTATCATAATAATATATTGGTGTTTTTATTTATTTTTTAGTAATATTTCTAATTTATTTTGGTCAATTTTTTATTTAACTGCTACCGCACCTGCTGGTTTACCAGTCATAAAACTCCCGCAAACGCATCCATTTTTAAACGCTAAACCAGTCGTTCAAAATGCTTGGTAACGCTTGAAGCCGCAACCGCCCGCTTCCGCAAACTCCCGTAACCGCAACCGCAATCGCTGCGTTTAAACCAGTCAGGCCCTAAGATACCACGTCCTGGCTACCTCGACGTTTCCCTTTCTCCGCTTAACGCTCTAGGCCATCTTCATTCTCTCTCGACTCTTGATAGATCAATAACTTTATCCTTCCGTTCCAGGATTATTCCCTATTCAGATTAGCTTCTATGGTGTATGCAGAGAAGTCACGTCTTAATCGCTCTTAATGTTTGCTCAAGGGGTAACGATTTCAATTAATCATTTCAAGTTTTAGACACAAGGTTGTTCTCCTCCTTTTCGGTTCACAATGATTAGGTATAGAAGGATGTGGAGATGGGACTCGCACACTAACTAGAGATCATGTATCCGACTACCATCATTTCATCAGACTCTGCAATCTGATTCGAAACCATCATTGTCTTTCATTATCTCTTATATCCATCTTTTTCGATTGACTTCATATATACCATTATTTACTGAATTCTCCTTTGCTACGTGCATGTTGCAGGTTTAAGATACAAAGAGAGTCTTTGTATCTTCTTCATTCCGGCTTTTGTGAAAAACTCACCATGGTCACACCCAACTAATTAGCGAGAAAAAGGTTTAGGTTTATCTTCACCAGTAGACCATCCGCTTATTGGAGAGATTTCTCAAAGGAATCAAATCAATCCAAAACTTCCTTCTTCGTTAGGTGAATTTTGTTATTTATTTTATAATTTTACCTTGGTTCGATTGTGATTTAATTTCTCGAAAATCCTCAATAAGGGAAAATTTTGGGACTCAACTCTTAACTCTATCATATTCTCTTGCTGAAAACTTTTGAATTTAAATTATGTGATGATTTAGTGTCTTTCAGTCTATAACTTGATTTAGTAGTGTTATTCCAGCTGTGATGGAGGTTAGGACAATAGTTGCATGGTCACCAGTAAAAAATAGTTATGAAAAAATAAATATAGTTATGGAACATGTTGATTTAAAAATGATAATGGCGTCTCATGGATTACTTTTTCCCTCACATTGGAACTAATGTTGCATCGAGTTTGGTTATATAATTATGATGCTGCTTGTGTATTCTTTTGGGTTTCAATCTTAATCAGTATACATGGTATATATCTGTGATTAAGAATCAAGACCTTATGGTATAACACATATTGTTTAGTTGCAAGCCTGTAAAGGTGAAACTGAAGACAAAATGAAACGTAACAAAAAGATAACATCGGATGCATATGATATCGATATCCTCCCGTGAAATCAAGCTTCTTCCTTGCGTCCATCATGAAAACGACTGCTCTGTTTCATTAAAGGTCTCACACCCTCTTCTCTGGATTCACTAACTCATGTTCTATATATATATTTTGGAACCAGATAGTTTAATCACATCCTCTCCTCAATGAGATGTTTCTAGAGATTTTTAAAACGCAAATGATGATGGACGCCTTCACCAAATTGTACATAGAAGAAAAGCCAAATCTGCGGGAGGTGAAAAATGGAGGCAGTACAATGTCCACAAACTCAAGGAATATAAGAGAATTTTAAACCAAAAGGTGGATCAAAGAGTTTCTGCTAAATAGCTCCGCCATGAACGAAAGGTAAACATAACTTACAAAAAATGTTATGTGTTTATTTTTCGTTAGGTACAAAAGATGGGAAGAAATTAAGAGATCATGCCTTCAAGCATAATAAAGATATTATTCAAACACCAAGAGGGAATGTATAAGTATTTCATCACAAATCTATACTAGTATTTTTGGAGTCATTTTGGTGACGGGTGGGTAAAAATACTTCCGGGTTATTTGGATACCCGACCCGTTTATAAATTTTGCTCATAAAAAGTTTGTTGGGTTGGGTTATATTTAACTCAACTCATACACTGGATATTCCATATTTAATAATTTAGATACTTAGAAGATTTGATTAAGATTTAGAATTATGATTCTCCTACCATCTTTGTTTGATTTGTTTTTAACTGTTTTGAATCATCATATAATACATAAAGTTAAATTTTTTTCTGTATATACTGTGATTCAAAATTTTAAAAACGGACATATATTATCCAATTGACGAAAATGTGTGTTCAACGTTCTACATCGATTAAAATATTTAGACAATGATTCAAAATCATATCATAAATAAGATCAACATTAATAAAATAAATGAGTTTTTTTGGCCAGACGGGTTTGGAGGGACGGGTTTTTGAATCAAACAATAATCAAAAGATTAAAATATCATTAATCCGCCCTTCAATACGGATTAAATCCTTAATTTTTTTTAATACCACCAATATTAGACATATTAAATCAGTCTCATTTAGAAAAGATTGTATAAAACCAAAAATTGTCCCGTGGTATAATGTTACTTAATAACAATTGTAAACTATAAAAAATAAATATCTTAGAAAATGATACAATTTGCAAAATTTTATATATAATAAATAATCTTTAAATTTTAAAAATTACTACTTTTAGAAAACAAATCACGGGACGGGTTAAGAAGTTACAGGACGTGTTATATTTCGGAACAAAGTTATATGATGGACGAGTTTGAATCAATATTTCTAAAATTTTAAAATATCATTAACATGCCGCTTTAATACAGTTTAAATCTTAAGTTTATTAAAATATAAATATCTTAGAGAATGATATGATTTGTAAACTTTTATATATAATAAATAATCATTAAATTTTAAAATAAAAACAAATCACGGGACGGGTTAAGAAATTACGGAACGGATTATATTTCGGAACGGGTTTATATGACTGACGAATTTGAATCAATATTTATAAATATCATTAACATGCCGCTTTAATAGGGATTAAATCCTCAGTTTATTAACAATTATCTCGTAGACTCATGGTATACCGTTAATTAATAACAATTGTAAACTATAATATAAATAAATATTTTATAATGAGATACAATTTATAAAATATTTTTATACTAATTTTAAAAATAAATCATCCCGCGGTGTACCGCGGGTTAAAATCTAGTTTAAATTAAAAAAAAATAGTACATGACCAAATTAATACAACATCACTTTGATTGTGTAATATAGTTGTTCTTTTCGTTCAAATGTTTAATACAACATCACTCGATTTCTGTATGTATACAAAATAAATTATTAATTTTTAAAATTAAGTAAACTAATTTCAAAATTGTCATCTATCAAATATATACCCAGGCGTAGCATTCAGTGAAAACCAATGAAAGAGAAACAATCATTTTATTTCTTTTTTTCTTTTTATATAAATTAATTTTTTATTATTTCTTTTGTATAGGGATTTGAAAACATTTTATATTTTGAAACAAAATAAAAACTCCAAAACATCTTATATTTTCAAACATATCTTATTATATAAAGTATGGTTTTCAAAGTTAATAACTCACGAGATCGTGACACGTGTCAAATTTTCCAATATGAGATTTTGACATGTGTCAAATAAAATTTTCCGTTAAAAAAAAAAAGAAAAAGTAAGAAAATAATTATAAAAATAATTAGAAATTTAAACACTTTTAAAATGTAAAAAGCTAATTATAAGGAAATTGTACATATATTTCCATAAGACTTTTTGGCATCTAGCAAACAAAACTTTTGTTTTTAGAAAGCTAATTATAAGGAAATTGAACATATATTTCCATAAGAATTTTTGCCATATAGAAATTTTTTTTTTAAAAAAGATAATTATAACAAAACTACAAATTTAAATAGTTTTAAACATATAAAAAGATTATAATAAGAAAACAACATGTATAAATAAGGAAATTATATGTATATTTTCCATAAAAAAATCAAAATTATAAAATTATGTAAACATTTTATTTATAAGTTACTAACTGTACAAAAAAAAAGGATTTTAAATAGAAAAAATTAAGAAAATTATACAATCAATTATTAATCCTATAAGAAAAAGGATTGTAAATAGTTACCTTTAAATAAACAAATAGATTGTCCCATATTTTCTCATCAAGCAAACTTATTTCTTAACGATGTTATATCATATCAATTATAAAAAATATATTTTGAATCACGATGTTTTTCTAAAAATAGCATGTGATATTTATATCTAATGAATATATGGCAATTGAGGTAAATTAATAATGATGAAAAACATTAGCGAAATAAAGACATAGACTAGAGTTATTGTCGGAGAGGCTTGGTCCAATGTCGGAGGAAATAAAGAAGGTGAAGAATAAGAGAAATTGGGAAAAGAGGATAAGAGACGGTAACAGTGTTGTTGGTGTTGATGATAGTGGTTCAAGCTTGGTGGTGGTAGCGGCGGTAAATATTGATGAAGTTGGTGAGTCGGAATTAGCGAGATTCGGTATTGTTGGTGGTGGTGATTTTGATAGTAGTGAGATTTAGTTGTGGTGGTGGGTCAGAGTAGTGAGACTCGGTAGTGATGCCCGAAAAATGCGAGAAGTGTAGATAGGGAAAAAAACAAATAAAGATATGGTGGTGAAAAAATCCGACGCGAGAGAGAGAAGAAAAAAGAAAGAGGAATTCGAATAAAAATAAGAGAAATCTAATGAGAGAAACATAGAGATTTGAGAATTAGAAAGAGGAGAAAATGAAGAAATTAATAATATGAGCAAAAAAATGACAAAAGCTATGTAGCAAATAAATAATGTTTAATTTGATGTTATTTTTTTAATTTTTTTTTAGTCTTAAGTTATTTAGTGTATATTCTCTAATTCCTTAAGTATAAGGTCTTCTCTTTCTGTTGAGGATATTTCATATTATCAAGTTAAGCTACTTAGTTACATGACATTAATATAGATGGTCTCATATTTTTTCTTCTTTTATTGTCACAATTTTATTATGATGTCAAACTTTTCTAAATAAAATCATATATTTACGTATCTCATACTATATGTTTACATATTATACATATATCGTTCATATATTTACAAAACTATATAGTTTTATCTTTTCTTATTGTCATAGTTTTGTTTCTATCTTGCCCACATTGAAATTATAAGATGTAACACACTATTCCGATGGATGTAAATAACTTATTAAAATTCAATAATACAACATATGAATATTATGACTTCATAACTTATAATAAGTAAATAATTATATAATTTTATAATAGGCCAATATTTATATTAGATGATTTAAAAATTAGTATAACATAACTACAAATAGTGTTTTATTGCGCATAATGCTAATAAATCTATATTTAGATATAATTATGCTGCATTTTCTAAAATATATATATATATGTTAACTAAAATAAGCTTACAAAAATAAAATATAAATATTAAGAATGATAATCTCGACCTGCAACCCGTGCAACGCACAGGTCCATATCTAGTGGAGTATAAAAGAGCAAAACTTAGTTTACATATCAACTTTATCCTAAAGCTTTAGCAAAACAACTATAATTAAGATCAATATGATAATTGTGCGAAACTAAATCTACTAGACAATTTTAAAAGTTAACTTTATCCGAAAACTTTAGCAAACAATTATACATTAAAATCTATATAATGATTGTCGAAACTAAATCTATTAAACAACTCTGCAGAATAACTTTTTCAAAAAACTTTAGCAATATACTATTATTAAACCAAGCTTCAATTGCATATATTAAGATCCACAAAATAACTGGACAAAATTATATCTAGACAACTCTCCATAATAACTTTACATGATAACTTCACCAAACAACTACACACTAGAATCTAAATATTAAATGTGTGAAACTAGTCTCCCAAATAGATTTTTCAAGGAACTTTGCCCAAAACCTTTAACAAAAGATTACATCTTTAAATAATTTTACAGAAAAATTATGCACACAAACATTATGAAATTATGCTCATCCATTTTCTTTGTAGAAATGTCATATTGAAATTTTTAGAAGTAGAAAGCATGCTTTGATATACACTTATGTATAAGAGAACCTAACAATATAGTACTTCATCTAGGTTTAGAAAATTAATTTAGAGTTTTAATTTATAATTAAAATTAGCTTAGATTAGTGTGTCATGATTTTCAAGTACATTTCTTAAGATTTATTAGAAATGTGGCCTAACTTAACCCAAAAGTTAGCTCAAGAGTTAAGGATTGCCACATCCTATATATATTGCCCAAAGATCTCAATTCCAAGCAATGTGGTGCATTCTAAAAGGCCTACTCGTGATGTGGGTGGGAAACGGTCCAACGGAAACAGCCCAAACCCAACATCTTGGAAATACAACAAGACATGTCACTTATATGGGTCACATAGGTGGGAAACCATTTATGTGGGAATTTGCTTGTTGGGTCAATCTTGGGCTCTGATACCATATTAGAAATGTGGCCTAACTTAACCCAAAAAGTAGCTCAAGAGTTAAGGATTGCCACATCCTATATATATTGCCCAAAGATCTCAATCCCAAGCAATGTGGGACATTCTAATAAGATTGACACTAAACGCAATCATAAGCTCAGCATACTCAAAGGAAACTGAGTTGAATGAAAATGGATTGTTGAACGTGTCAAAGCCAGACTCGGAAGGACTGTTGGTTGAATCTAGATGCAGATCAAACAATAAGGGAAATAAAAAGCCATGGACAGGAAGTTCTAATGGCAATGGCAGATTTCAGTCAAGGCAAAGTAACAACACATGTTGTTTTATTTATGGAAAGGAAGATCACTAGAAGAGGGAATGTCCTGAAAGAAAGATGTAACGATCCAAATTTTGGATTAAACCACGAGGACCGAACCGAGCCTATAAGCGAGTTAAACCCGCAAGCGAGCCCATGAGAGGATGAGAGAATGAGAAAATGAGAGAATGAGAAAATGAGTATTTATAGGAAGAGAAGTGAGAAAAATTACAATTAAAAAAATAAACTATGGAGTTACAATTCTAATTTATTGTGTTTGTGTGTTGAATAAAATTAAGTGGAGAAATATAGTTAATGCATAATTTATATGATTTCAGTTTTATATTAAAGTGTTAGTTAAATGTATATGATTAAGTTAGTTGAAAAGATTTTTTTTGTAAGTTACATTGCCAAGTAGTTTAATTGTATACTAGGTCAGAGCCCGCGGTGTAACCGCGGGGGAAGGTATTTAGAAACATTTATTTATGATTTTATTGTAAATATTGTGTGTGTTTTATTGTGTATATGAAAATGTGTATGAGAACCGGGAAGAGTTGAATTTGATATTGTTATGATTAAGGCCCAATCTCAAACCCAACTGTTGACATATTATTTTTGGAACTGCACCGCCGTTTAATATGTGTCCGTTCAACAACAGGAAAAAAAAGTAAACGAAAACGAAAAAGAAAAAATCTTCAATCTTCTTCTGCATAGAATTCAAAATTTTCCAGAGACCCATCAATTGAGAGATTGCATCTCCGATTTCTGTCTTAGGAAGCAAAAATAATGGAATTAAAATCGAAGAGATAAGAAAAATTTATGTTTTTCATCATTAAGACCTATATAAATTGCAATCGATTCGAATTCAGAAGTTGTGAAAACGTTGTTAAGAGCCATTTGGGAGAAAAAGTTTGTTTGATGGAAGTAAAGTAGATTGGTAATGATTTGTTTTTATACGGATGGTTTGATCATATATTTATACTGCTAACGCATATATTAACAAAAGTAGGGTTTATGCAAAGAATATTCGTCAAAGTAATTGCAATTTGCAACGACGAGATTTGAGAATTTTTTTATTAGAGAACACTTAAAAAAGGAAGTAATATCTCAACAAAATATATGATAAAGGTTTGATATATAATCCGATTTTATATTATAGAGAGTTTTTACGATTCTAATTCAAAATAAAGTAACTAAGATTGTTTGTGCGATAAATAAGGTATTTGTGCACAGAAGGGGTTATTAAGATCTCATCGCTGTTTTTTGCATAATCTTATTTCTAAATACGTTGGTATTTTGTTGATGGGAATTAAACTAAGATTTATACTTGGCCTAGAAGAATATACCAAGGGCGTCATTTAAGATTAAGAAGTTTGCCACATAAACCGATTAATAATATATACGCAATTATCATTTTTGTTAGGTAATTAATGCTCTTTTCGTAATTAATGCTTAATGGTCGTTATTTTCAGAGTTTAATGTTTTGTAATTATGTCTCAAAGATCCGAATAGTATCTTTCCGGGTCATTTTTTCAATTTTTTCAGTTATAACCCGACCCAAGTACATTTGTACTTCTCTTTTAATAGTATAGAGATGATTAAATATGTTTATTTGTGGTTTAATTGAAAAGAATTTTTTTTTTTTAAGTTATATTGCCAAGTGGACCAATAAGAAGAGAGTGAAACCTTACTTTTATATATACGATGTGTGGTTGACAAAAAAAAAATATTATTTCGTAAACCCAAAAAAGTCAAAAACTAAATTAGACACCGGCTAACCAAACAGAATTTATTGCACTGGTTTGGACCGGTTTACTAAGAATCTTCTCGGTGATCGATTCGATGGACATATCAAGCCTTTGGTGGTGGATCTGTGCGCGTGCCGGAGAATAACGCCGCATGACTCTGTGAAGCTTTGATTCGTCAATTATTTGATTTTACTGGTAATTGAATTCCTCTTAGTCCACAATTCGCGAGCAATTAAGTTATTGGAGAAACCTCTGTTTTTAGATTGTTGGTTCTTGCTCTCGTCTCGCATCGAAAGATCAAATCTTTTGCACAAGTTTGTGGTAGAAAGCTTTAGGGTTCTTAAATTGGTTATGCCCAGATTAAGATTAAACGTGAAACGGTGTATTCTCGTGATTACAGAGATTTGTGGGTTTTGGAGTAGCTTGTGTGGAGTTTAGGAGATGGATCTAGAAACTGAGAATCGAATAGCTTCAATTCTATTAAGAGAAGCAGCAGAATTGAGAAGAAAAGCTGAGAAAGAAGGTGTTAGAGCCTATCTTGACAAGTCTGATATTAGGCATAGACCTAATTCAAGATTTCTCAAAGCCACTGTTCTTGGTGTTCAGCAATGTATGCCCTTCTCTATTCTTTCTATTACATATGTGTTCGTTTTAGCGATTTCCATCGGTAAACTAGTTTCAAGTTATGTTCTTTTTTTCTTCAAATTCTACTCTATGTGATCACATTGGAAATTATAGATTGTTTGATATGTCTTTCCAATCTGCATCACTGTAGCTTTTGGAATTTTTCTTCTTTGAAGCAGTTTTGGAAGGGATTAGTTTCTTTGTTGGTTAATCTGATCCATCAATAAAAAAGGTTGGTAACATACTAACATGTTACAGTTTTGGTGGGGGTTTACGGTTTTTTTATACCTTCTTAACTTGTTCACTAGCATTTAGTTTGTTCGAAAAGAAAGATCTATCTGATAGCGCCATTTCTCGTTTGTATCTTATGACTATCTACTATTGAATGTTGATATGAGGTTAATTGTTTACTTTGACTCTAACATGTTCTGTTTCTTGACTACTGGTACAGCAAACAAAGCGGTAGAAACCAATGAGATGTGGAGGGTTCGGAAGAAAGAGATTGAGCTAGAAGATAAAAGACACAAAGGAAAAACACAAGAGGAAAGCAGTAGTAGCCAAATGAAGCAGAATGGTAGTTTCATGAAATGGAGTTTGGATAAGCGATGCAGCTCGGGTGATGAAAAAATGATTACGTGTGCATCATCATCAAACAAGAGATGGTATTCAGAAGATGACGAAGGCTTAGGAGATGATGACATTGAGACTTTTCTCCAATCACGGTATGTCCTTTCACACTCTACCTAGCAGCTTCCATTACCTTTATATTTGCTAGCTATCATCATTCTCCTTCATGTATTGCTTGGTTCTATATTTTATAGTAAAGTGTTTTTGCCAATGAAACCACTATATTCTCTGGTTAGGAAGTGTAAACGCAAACGAAAAAACTGTCGGTTAATACTACTAAATATGCAGCCTAATACTTATTGTAAATCTCTTGTAAATAATAGGAAGAAACGTGGCAGAGGCTCTATTGGTCCTATGATGGATGAAACTGGGCCTTATCTTCCTGCCGAGAATAGACCGTTTCAAAGTTGTGATACAAGAGAGCGGAAAGTAATCCTGGGCCCCGAGAGACCACCTTCATTGACACAAGGCTCAGATAACCAGGATGGTCCGAGGATAAGAAAGGACTATATGAAGAAACATCGTAAAAACGACAAGAAAACAGAAAAGAAGAGAAAACGGGACAGACACTAAAGATTCTCTCATGACAGTAACGTTGTCAAAGATGCAGAGTGATATCAACAGTTATGGTAGGGGAAACAATTTGTAGATTAAGGCGATAACTATATTTGAGAAGCACCGTTGTATATAAGACCTGATCTTTGTTCGTGAACTTTTCGCAGCAACCTTGAGCACCCTTCTATCTAGTAACTGTTATATACGATTGCTTATTTTCTTTAAACTATTTTACGGCTTTAATTGATCTGTATCTTGGGACTAAGTTTCTGGATTATATCACCATAGAAAAAGATCATCAATACGCTACATCCTGACCATGTTCACGTGTTTCTTGTTGATAGAGATAGAGAAACTCTGCTCTGGTCTGTGTTAGAGCTTAGGATTCTGAATAACTATACATACAAGTCTCTTTATTGATGATCTTTTTAGAACTAGACCGAGAATAACTATCCAACTCCATCATTTGACTCAAAAAGAATTCTCTATATTTTGGAACAAACAAAGCTCTTCCATGTGTTTACTGTTTAGTCTCCACTCCTATACGGACACGCTTTTCACCAAGAATCCTATCACAGGTGAACACAGAAGCTTTGTGTATGGTTAACACTTACACAACACGAGTCGTCTCTTTTAAGAACTGCTAATTCGACGCTTCCATATGTGACTAACCGCAGATTTGTGATGACATTCTTAATCATCAGGTTGAACTATTCCTGAGAGTTTGTCACGAGAACCTAACTGTCCTTGTCGGATACTGCAGCAAAGAAAAGCATATACTGATATACATAGCTAATGGGACCTTGGTTGGGAGGATAACATGTCTTGTTAGTCTTCTGAACTATATATAATTCTTATTAACTATTAACACAATGTAACTTAAAAGGAATTTGGATAAGCCATGTGTTCCGCTGATGAGAAAAAGATGGCTCATGCATCGTAAAACAAAAGATGGTATTCAAAAGTTTGATGAAGGCTTAAGAGATGATTATGTTGTTTTCTCCTTCATGTAATGGTTGTTTTCTACAACGGCTTTTCCCAAATAAAATCACTATTTTTAGTACTATAAGAAAAAAGGAAAAATAGTTTTTGTAAATTCTTCTTCTCCTGATTGGACAACCGATAAGTTATTTTTTAATAAATGTGTGGTTGACAAAAAAAAAAAAATAGAGAGAAAAAACCGTTGACTACTAAAACATTTAAGTGAAATCTGGTCTCCAAGATATTCAAAAGTGAAATCTCCAGAGAAATAAAGCGAATATTCTGCAAATTTCAAGAATAATAGAATGCATGAATGAAGTCGCGCTCTCAAGTAGCAGGAGGGACAGGGAGAAACCAACGAGCAACCTTGAGCTTCATATTGGAGAGACTAGGGAAGCGTTTAAGGGTCTTGGTTGCAATATTGAACACACATATGTCCATGATTAAAGTCTTCCGGAGACGGTAACAGGGAGAGTCATGAATGATGAAATAAATGGAGTTTGGTTCGATACCAGGCACGGTGATACGCAAGCCATGAAGTAGGGCCACACCAGCTAGAAAATTTACCTCAATGTAATATTGATTTGGGTATGGATTAGGATCCTTCTTGAAGACACGAAAGGTTTTAGATTGTTTTCCAATCGCTATCTTGTTAAGGATATTCTGGACTAAAGCTCTCCTGATGAGTTAACCGAAATAATGTTACAATTGGCTTGATGTTCACATGGAGTAGATGGCGCTAATGGTTTACTCCATGTGACATCCCGTGATCCAAACAAATCTATGAATCGAATGTAATCACGATTGCTTCAGATGTAAAGACTATGACCTCGGAGTACCACATCATATATGTTTTGTAACCACCAGGAGACTCCAGAAAGTAGCAGAATGTAAGTGTAGTGATCATCACCTTTCTTGCAAAAGCATACACAATTGGCAGGTGCGTCAAAGAACCAAACAACAATCTAGTCTTGTGTTTTCTCGTCTACCCACAAAAGACCCATGAGAACATCAGTGACCAGAGTGGTATACGTAGTCCCTTGATAAGTTATTGTCCTTATGAATTTCTTTTCTCCTAGTCGTTCTAGAGTAGTACAATTATCACTACATTGGAGCGATTCTAGAGGCAGTAGATCGATCAAATTCTTGCCGAACACATCTATGATATAGAGATTGGAACAAGAATCTATCACAAGGAACCAATTACCCGAGTTTGCAAGAAATCGAAACCCTTCAAAGTCTCTCTCCGGTTTGTTCATCATGTCTTCGTCTAGATTGTACCGCACGCAACCATCTTCTCCTTCAACTAAGAAACTATTTTCTTTGCTTTCATATAGTTCAAAATTAAAAACTTGAAGTATCTTGATCTTGGAGGAGAGGTATAGAGTTCTCCTACACGAAAACTTGAAGTCCAATATAGAGTTCTCCTAAATGGACAACCTAGAGGATTATAGTACCAGAGAGGGGACTACGACAAGGAGATCCGCTTTCCCCTTATTTATTTATCCTATGCACATAGGTGCTAATTGCGAATATTCGGAAAGCATAATGGAAAAATTAATTACGGGCATCAAAGTAGCAACAACAATCCCCTCGGTTTCACATATGTTATTTGCGGATGATAGTTTATTTTTTTGCAAGGCTAACAATGATCAATGTGGGGTAATTTTGGGAATTTTAAAGAAATATGAAGCGGTTTCGGGACAATAGATAATTTTTTTACAATCATCGATTCAGTTTGGTCATAAGGTAGATGATTCTATCAAGAAAGAAATTAAATCAACCTTGGGTATCACTAACATTGGTGGCATGGGTTCTTATCTCGTATTGCCGGAAAGTCTAGGTCGCTCTAAGACAAAAATCTTCTCTTTTGTTAGAGATAGATTACAAACTACAATAAATGGATGGTCGGCCGAATTTTTATCGAAATGTAGGAAAGAAGTGATGATTAAATCGGTAGCTGCGGTATTACCAACATATGTTATGTCTTGCTTCAGACTACCAAAAACAATCACTTCTAAACTTACTAGTGCGGTTGCTAATTTCTGGTGGAATTCAAATGTTGATTCCAGAGGTATGCACTAAATGGTTTGGAATAAATTGTGCAATAGTAAATCAGCAGGTGGATTAGGATTTCAGATTGTAGATGATTTTAATTTGGCCTTATTAGCAAAACAATTATGGCGGTTGATTACAGTTCCTGATTTTCTTTTCGCGAAGGTTTTTAAAGGGTGGTATTTTCGGAAATCCAATCCTTTGGAAAATATAAAATCATACTCTCCATCTTATGGATGACGGAGTATATGTTCAGCTAGATCTCTAGTTAATAAATGACTTATTAAAAGAGTCGGATTAGGGGCATCCTTCTCAGTTTGGGAGAATCCCTGGATTCCAGCTCAATTCCCGAGCCGAGACCAGCAAAAAGTAATAGTTTAGTTATTGACCCATCTTTAGAAGTAAACAATCTTATAGATAACCGTACGAATTTTTGGAATATCGATCTCTTACAAGAGATCTTTGATCCGAAAGATGTTCCGCAGATAAGTGCCCTGCCTATGGGTGCGCCAGCCATGAAGGATACTCTGGGTAGGCACTTTACAAAGTCTGGAAAAATATACAGTCAAATCTGGATATCATACCACACAGATAGAAAAATTGGAGACCAATTTGCCTTTTATTTGCCCAGAAATCAAAACACTAAAAGCACATTGTTGGCAAGTGTAGTGTCCACTTAAGGTACGTCACTTCTTGTGGAAAATTTTAGCGGGTTGTGTGCCGGTTACGGAAATTTTAAGGAAAAGAGGAATAAATTGTGACATAGGATGCGCCAGCTGTGGCGCATCGAAGGAAACAATCAATCATACACTCTCTCAATACCAACCAGCAAGATAAATTCGGGCGCTTTCGCTGATTCCTACGGCTATGGGGGTTTTCCCAACAGAATCTATTTATGCGAATTTGGATCACTTATTTTGGAGAATACCTTCAGAATTCGATACATCAGCTTTCTCATGGATTATTTGGTATATTTGGAAAGTAAGGAATGAAAAAATATTTGATAATGTAGAAAATGATCCTTTAGAGGTTTTACGTTTAGCAGAAAAAGAGGCATAATTGTGGCAGTCAGCCCAAGTCGACCTTCATAATGAAAATCTGGGGTGTGTGGAATTGATAGCTCGATCTCGAGTGAGGGATGTTTCACTTGATTCGAATTATTCTGGTTACCGTTTCTTGGTGGATGGATAATGGAAATAAAGTGATAGTTCTCCGGCACACGGTGGTTCTGTACATCATCAACTGGAGAGCCGCCAACCATGGGAGCTGCCAACCTCCGTAGAAGTCTATCTCCCCCTACATACAGAAGTCGAGCCCCTTCTATGGACGATGAAGTGTTTGATCGGCGTAGACAATCAAGATTTAGCTTTCTTTATAGACTGTTATAGCAGGGTGAAGATGGTGTCTTTGCCAACCGAATGGCCGGTATTTTCAGTGTATTTGGAGGAATTTCAGAGCGACAAGGATGAGTTTACAAACTTTTCTTTATCTTTAATTTCTCGTTGTGCAAATGTAAAAGCTGATAATCTAACACAAAAAGTTCGTACCGAACCGCTTCCGCTTCATATCACATATGTAAACAACATTCCGAGGAATGACTATTCTGAGCTCTAAGTACTTTCGGATGACAAAAAAAAAAATTGGTTCTTTTTTAACCGGATCAAACAGGAATCAAAACTGGTTATCACCACCACCAAAATTTGTTGTTGGCGTGTTAAAAAAATCCGATGAGCTTTCTCAATCCAACAAACCAGTTCGCAATCCCAGCTACAGAGCTTCCCTAACACCATGTTCACCCACTCCACCGACTCTTTCCTTTGCAAATCGTTCTCTAAGAACAAGGAGAAGCTGGTGGGAACATGTGGCTTAAACATGTGGGAATACCGGTTTTGATTCTGGTTTGATCCGGTTAAAAGACAACCAAAAACTCTTTGGATTAAAAATTAATAAAAAATTAAGATGATAAGGGTAAAATTAGAATTATGTATTTGTTTTGAAATCGTAAGTATGAAAATAACAATATTTAATTTTTTGAGTATTAATTTGCTCGCTTTAATTAGTTTGTGTATTTTTTTCCAACAATAAAAATGTGGGTATTATAAATGTCCAAATAAAAAATAGATAAAATTTTTTTTGGGTTTTTTCCTTTTTGAAAACACCAAAGATCAAATATCATTTTTCTTTTAGAAAACGACGTCGTTACTGTGGTTTAATGGGCAAGGGAACATCATGTGATTCCAAGAAATTTTCTTTCATCATCATCATTGTATGCG